CTTGGTGTTGACGGCCACATTAGGACCTGGGGACCGGCCGATGACCAGCTCCTCACCGTCTACTTGGATGGAGCCTCTCTGGCCCTTTCTGCAGTGTGACAGGTTCAGGCCCCTTGCCCTGAATTCCCATCCTCCCCAAATGTCCTCCCTTTGTCATTGAGACTCCCCATAGACAAACCTGGCCCCTGCTTGCTCTTAAGTCCCTCCTTTCCTACTGGCCACACACAGCTACCTTCTGAAGCCCTCCTCAGGTTGCCTCTCTTTAAAAAGCCAAGGCTGGGCTCAAACTCAGGATCTTCTTGCCTCCACCTCCCAAGTGCTGGGATTACAGGTGTGCACCACCACCTTGGACCCTATGGAGCTCTGAACGGCCAGGAGCTCTGCTTGCCGGTAAGGTGTCCTTCCCACATCAGTTTCTCATTCTCTCTAAGATGGCCAAGCCTCCCCTGGGACACGGGGGAGGCTCCTGGTCCTATGCCCACCTCTGGCCCTTCCCCTACCCAACTGGACTCCTTACCGCAGTGCTGTCACCCGATGCCACTCGCCATCATTAATGGGGTCCTCAGAGACAAGACGGGCCTCTCCACTGCCTAGCTGGTAGCTGTAGTATCAAAGATCCATGGAGGTGTGAGTTTTGGGGTGGGGCAGAAGGTGAAAGGTGCAGATGGTCCTGGGGTATGTGGCTGGGGCATCTGGAGCTGCAGCTTCCCATGAGAGAAGCCAGGGATAGAAGAGGGGGATGAAGGTGTTAGGATTCACCTGAAGACAAGATGGCCATCCTGTAGTCCAAGGCTGATGAAGTCCTTGCTGCGGCTGGCCTCTCTCACCTGCCAAGGAAGCATAAGGTGTCTAGGGTCCCACATTGGAGAGTTGAGACCCTGGGGGCTGTAGCCTTGGTCTTCCTCTTTCTGCACTTTCCCCGACTAGGAGGCCAGTTTCCAGCCCCAGGAATCCCAAGACCCCCCAGTTGGATGTCCACTCACCACACCCTGCCAGAGCAGGAGGCCATTGGCTGTGCTGGTCCGAAAGTCAACAACACCTGTCTTACCTCCTGGAGAAGATGTTGCCAGGGAGGCCTAGGAAGCCATTGTCATGAAAGTAGGCCCCGTATTGCCCAGGAGCATCTGTGTGAGAGTAGAAGACAGTGAGTATGTATCACGGTGCTCATCTGTCCTGGAACTCACTTTGTAGTTCAAAGCCTCTGAATTTGAGGCTTTGTAGGCCTCAAATTCAGAGATTCACCTGCCTCTGCCTCCCAAGTGCTGTATTTTGTGTGCGTGTATGTGTGCGTGCGTGTGTGCTTGAGCACGTGTGTATCAGTGCTTGTGGAGGTTACAAGAGATGGTCAGATCCCCTAGATCTGGAGTCCCAGACTACTGTGAACTGCCTGAAGTGGGTGGTGGGAACTGAACTCAGGTCTTGGTAGGAGCCTCAATCACTCTTAATGTGGCTCTCTAGGCCCACACATTTTAACTTTTAAGTATGTGGAATTCCAGAGCATGAGCCCTGCACTGTTCCAAACTGGCACACAATAGATGCCTGCTGACTGAGGGAACTGATGTCAGAGTGGGTCAAAGGCCAGCCCAAGGTCACATTGCCAACAAATTGTGTATGGCTCTGTCCCTCTTTGTTCCCGCCTATCTGTGTCCAGTGAGCTCCTGTCATAGGCTTGTTTTACTTGAGGACTCAAACTAAGGTATAAATAACTGGAGGAAAAGTGGCTGAGAGACCAAGACCAAGAAGACAAGGTCACCTGTTTGCCTAGCTGGCCACAGGGAATACATACCATTGCCTCCACTGCCTTCAAGGTGCCAGTCAGATTCTACTACGCCATACCCTGCGCCTGTGGAGAAGGGTGGACTCTAGTTGGTGGACACAGACACCAGTAACTGTGGCCCCAGAGGAGGGTGGAGAACAACTATACCTTGTTGGCAGCGGGGACCAGAGAAGCCAGGGAGACATAGGCAATGGGCACCCCAGCAGGTGCCACCATTCAGACAGGGCTCTTGGAGCTGGCAAGGGTTCTCCTCATGCTCACAAAGGTCTCCTGTGGGCCAAGACAAAGGTGCGTGGGCAAGGGCTAGAGTTACCCTCTGAGTCTTGGACTGCTGGTCCCATGCCCTGCTGTGCCCTGGGCTGGCTCTGGTACCTTTAAAGCCATCTTGACAAAGGCACTGGAACTCATATTCACCCGCAGGCATGCATGTGGCACCATTCCGGCAGGGCTGGCGCTCACACGGGGAACTATCGTAGCACTGCCCCACACCCTGGCTGCCCAAAAAGCTGTAGGTGAGGTCCAACCGCTTGCCATTCACAGACACCTGTGGGCATAGAAACACCAAGGAACTTATGGGGTATGGAAGGCAGAGGCATGGGTGTGCCAGCAGACAGGGCATGTGTTATAGAGTATCTGGGAAGTCAGCCAGGGGCATGAAAAGTGACAAAGGATCCTGAGTGTGGACGGGAGGCCTTGAAGGTGAGTACCTCCTGTGCAGCCAGTCCCCAACATGACTTTAAAGTGGCTACTATAGCCTATTTTGAAGAAACTGACTCAGCAAAAAATGTGTGGTTCCAGGGCCCTGTGAGTGGCAGGTGGTCTCACACCGAACCCGTCCCTCCCACTGTTCCCCTGGGGGCTGCGTCTCACCTCGCCCACACAGCCTCGGAAGTGAGCACTCATATTGGTGGCTGGGGAAAGCTGTACGGAGGGCTCCACACCACCCAGGTAGAGCAGCGTGTGTAGGTTGAGGCCCTGGCTCTTCCCTGGGGAGGAGCGCAGCACAGGGCGCCCTCCATCCACCCGCAGGCTGCCATCTTTGTTGAGACGCTCTGCAGACACTCGGTGCCAGCGGCCCAGGGCCAGCGGTTCATGGCTTCGCAGAACAGCCAGACCTGACGAGACCATAGGCAGTGCTGGGTATTGGAAGGACCCTGAAACTCTCTCACTCTAGAATGTGATTAATGGGACACTTCTCATATATCTGAAGAATCTCTCATGAGGAGTTTGTGGTTAGGGGTGGCCTTAAAGTCACAGAGAAGTATGCAGGGACAGACCTCAGAGGGTCTGGCTTGTGAACTTAGCCCCCCTTGCCTCCAGGGAACATGGTGACTCAAAGACAGTGCAGATCTTGCCACCCAGGCTCATCCACACATGGCACCCAATGCTTACCTGACCCTAACTCATAGCGGAATTCCAGGTGGCCACCAACCATCGCTAGGGACACAAAGTCTTCCACGGGCCCACTCTTGCCCCCACTGAACAGCAATATCCCATCGGGTGCCAGTGGCTTGAACTCCACATCCAGGCGTAGCTCATGGTGAGTATTGGTGAGAGCCGGTAGTGCCAGGTAGGAGCCAGTGCCAGACATAGATGGGGTGGTCACTGTCACACCTGTAGCAGCCATAGTTTAGCTAGGAGCAGTGGGGATAGCAGAGCCCTGGGCAGGAACTCCACCCCTGACCCCTTACCCTACCAGAGGCTCAGGACTGGCCCTGCCCATGAAGATTCCCGGGAAGACAGTGTCCTCTTAGGGAATCCCAGGTACGGGACTCAGGCTAGATAGAAGTGTGGCCAGTTGATTTTAACATCTTCCTGCTTTAGACTAACTTGATTACTCATAGGACTTGTTATAACCCCAGTGTGCCTTGTGTATAATGTCCCCAGCTATCACAGAGAACACTCACCTTCCTCACACCTCATCCCCGAACGGCCCAGGTGGCAGCGACAGGTGTAGCCTCGGCCATCTGGCCGGTTCACACAGGTGGCGTCGGGCCCACAGGCCTCTGGAGGCATAGGGAAGAGGCAGGGAGATAACTTAGCAGAGGAGATTCTGTCTCTCATACTCCTGGGGACTTTGACTCTTAGGGCCAAGCCAGTCCTGGGAGGACTGTCCAGGTCCAAAGTGGGGGCACAGTCATAAGAAGGATACTGTCAGAGAGGACCCCTAGGGACAGCTGTGGCATTGAGTGACTGTACCTGTGTTTGTTTTTGCCTTTAGGCAGTCTTGCTTTGTAGCCCTGGCTAGCCTGGAACTACCATGTAGTTCAGTCTGGTTTTGAACTGGTACATGAACCTTCTGCCAGTGCCTCCTGAGTGCTGGGATTATAGTAAGTGCTACAACCCAGTATGGTTTTTTGCTTTGTTTAGATTTGTTTTTGTTTGCTTTCAGGGTCTCATGTAGCCCAGGCTGGCCTCAAACACACTGGTGACCTTGAACTTCTGACCCTCCTGCTTCCAGTTCCCAAGTGCTGGGACTATAGACATGCACAGTACACCTAGTTTATGAAGTGCTGGGGATTGAACCCAGGGCCTTGGGAATGCAGACATTAGGCAAATACTCTAACCATTGAGGTTAGCCATAAACCAGCCCTGTTTATGGCTTCTTTGAGACAGGGCCTCATTTTGTAACCCAGGCTTGCCAGGAGCTCACGGTAATTCTCTAGTCTCAGTCACCCAAGTCCTGGGGTTATAAATGTGTGCCACAATGCCCAGCTTGCAATAGTAAGACTGGGGGCGGGGTCAGGGCTGTGGCTAAGTGGCAGAGCACTTGTCTAGCACGTGCAAGGCCTTGGGTTCAATCCCAGCACATACATACACACACAAAGACTGCACCTAGGCAAGAGTGCAGGGTATGGATGGAGAGGCAGTGGAGGCACAGACTAGACGGTGCTCACCTGGGTGGCAATGCAGGGCTTGTGAATGCTCACAACGGCTGCCAGTGAAGCCAGCAGGGCAGACACATGTGTAGCTGCTGCTCTCAGAATCGTGGCACTGACCCCCATTCTACAAAGCAGCCACAGACATCACGTCAAGGAGACCACAGCCCTCTCCCTCCCTGTCCACCCCAGGGGTTAAGCCAAAGCTCAGGGCAGCTGGGGAGTGGTATGGGAAGAACCACCTGGCAGGGTCGGTCCTGGCAAGTAGGGCAGTGGGAGATGCCATGTGTTGTGAGGTTGAGGTCATGGAAGATGATTTCCTCGCCTTGGATACGCAGCTCACGTACACAGCCTGGAGGGCAGGGCAGGGTTGGGGGAGGCAGGGTGAGCATATGGAGGAAAGAGAAAGCTGGCCAGCTGTTGTCCACCATCTCTTGTGCCCCCTTTGGCTCGTGGGGCTCCATAACCAGCCAGGCAAGTTTAGCTGGGGAGGAGGGGAGGAAGGCTCACCTACAAAGCCACTGCTCAGCCCAGCCTTGGGGATGGCACCATAGTCAGGATAGCCACCCAGATACAGCTCCTCATTCAGGTCTAAGCCTTGGAACTTGCCCTGTGGAAGTTGGTAAGTGAGGTCCAGCTATTGGGTAGGTACAAGCTGGGAACTGGAAATGGGACAGGCTGGGTCTCACCTGGGAGGTTCCGTTGACAGGGGCAGAATTGCCCACAATCAGGGATCCATGAGTGAGGCTTCGGAGCAAGGTCACGGTGTGGAACTGGCCTAGGGCCAGTGGTGTGGGGTGGCGGATAGTGGCCATGCCAGAGCCTGCATCGAATCTGTTCCATAGGGTGGGGCAGGGGCAAGAGAGAGGTTTGTAAGCACAGCTTCAGACAGGCCCAGGCTGGGCAATGAGAGCCAGAGGAAGGACATCGTTCCCCATGGTCCAGGCTCTGAAGTTTCTGTCTTTGCTTTGTTTTCCTTTCATCACCCAACCCTGGCTGACCCCACCTCTTCCAAAAGCTTTCTCCACCACTGCCTTTCTGTGGGAGCACCTCTAGAGCAGGCTCTTAGGACTGGGAGAATTCTCTGCTCTGAGGCCCTTGCAGCCTAGTTCTCGGCTTCACTGCATTTGCCTCTGAGGTGACCTTGCTTTTCTTTGTTATGTTTTGGCATCCCCAACTAGAGTGGACATTCCTATAGGAACAACCTGACTTTTTCTGTTCATACCTGTAACAGTGCCTGGCACATGGCAAGAGTCAAGCAAGTGATTATTGGATGGATGAATGACTGGTGAGAGGATGGATGAATTGATGGATGGATGGTTGAGTAGATGAACTGGTGATGTGGATGAATGGAAGAAGACAGATGGGTGGTGGATAAATGGGATGGATGGATGGATGGATGGGTGGATATATGGGTAGATGGATGGATATATGGGTAGATGGATGGATAGATGGGTAGATGGATGGATAGATGGGTAGATGGATGAGTAAATGGGTAGATGGATGGATATATGGGTAGATGGATGAGTAAATGGGTAGATGGATGAATGAATGGATGGACAGGTGGATGAATGAATGGATGGATGAATGAATGGGGTGGATGATGGATGCAGGAATGAATAGATGAATGAATGAACAAGTGGATGGATGAATGAATGAATCCTGCCTATAGTAGAAGATCCCTCCTCTGCCTGCTCAGGATAGGGTGCCTCCTCCAGTAGACTGAGTGGTCATTTAGGATAATAGCCATAACTACTCTTTCTATAGATTCACCATAGTGTAACTCAGCCTAAAGCAGAGTATGTCCAGTCCCCAGTCTATCCCTCCTAGAAGACAGGGAGGTAGAGATCTCACCGGAACTCAGGCCTTCCGCCCACGAGGCCAAAGGAGATGAAATCAGGTTGCCTGTTGGCCAGGTTGGTGGGACTCCCTGGGATCCGCTTCTGCCCATTGTACAGCAGCATCCCTGGAGGGTAAGCAGTGTAAGCAGCCGCCCCTCTGGTCACCAGCCCTCTGTCACTCACCTAAGCTCTTGAGCCAGTGGCTTTCAACCTTGCTAATACTGTCACCCCTTAATATAGTTCTTCATGCTTCAGTGACTCCCAATCATAAAATTATTTTCATTGCTGCTTCATAACTGTAATTTTGCTATTGTTAAGAACTGTAATGTAAATATCTGATATACAGATGGTCCTAAGGGGACCCCTGTAAAAGGGCTGTTCGATCCCCCAAAGGGGTCATGACCCACAGGTTGAGAAACGCTGTCTTGAGCCTTTCTACTCTATGGTCCCTCACTCTGGAATACGGCCAGGAACCTCCACAATTATAGGTTCAGTGGCCTGAGGAGAAGAGCCTTACTAAGAGCTCTGAGACAGGACCTGACTTTTTGGGCATGCACCCATAGGGTGTGTCTCAAGGAGGAGAGGGAGGCAGAAACTCACCTGAGTAGAGAAGGAGGCCTGGGAAGTGAAAGTGAGAGACCGGCAAGATGAGAGGATGAGGGGAAAGAGAGAGCAGGAGAGAGAGAGAGAAGTCCATCAGATAAAAAAGAACATTGAGCAGGGACAGGAAGATGGGCCAGGAGGGCTGGGCACCAAGGCAGCCATGCAGCAGGACCAGACGGAGGCTAGAATGTCACAGAGAAGGATTGGAAAGCAAGGAGGCAAGAGAAATCCAGTGGGCTCTAGACAGGACAAGGGTTCTGTCAGGATTCCTACTGCAATGACAGATCCAAGGGACAGGTCCCCATCCCACCCCACACCATCCTCCAGACCCACTAGGTGTCTGTTTACCATCTGCAGAGTCTGGCCGGAAGGTAATCTTGATCTCAAACTTCCTGTAGGCATCTTTGATGGTGGGAAGTGGCAGGAAGGAGTAAGGTGTCTGAGTGAAGTAGGGTACCACTCGCTCTGCAGAGAGAAGACTGTCAGTCAGACACCTGTGGGCAAGTTAGCACATGCTGCCAATTATGGCTGGAGTTGTCCTACCTGGCACCTGCAGATAGGCGAAGGCTTTGACCTTGCCCTGCCGGTTGGTGGCAGTGCACACATAGGTGCCGGCGTCCTGTGGACGAACTGATGGTAGCATCAGCATGTTGTTCTCCAGGCGGCTGTCGGGTGGCAGGTCGCCATCCACCTACAAACATTGGCACTAAAGGCCTGGCCTTGGCTCATGCCCATACTTTGCCCCAGGCCCCGTCTTCAAATTGGGCATTTACTTTTGACCAGGACCAGCGATATTGAGCTAGCTCAGAGCTGGTCCTGGCACTTGTCCAGCATTTACCTTGCTCCAGGTGATGGCAGGTGTCGGGTAGCCTGAGGCCATGCATGGGAAGACTGCTGCAGAGCCAGCAGGCACTCGGACCTCTGGGGGAGTTGAGATCTGAGGCAAGGCTGAGGGAACAGACAGAGGTCACTCGTGTGATGGCATCCACCAACTTTGTGCTACCTTATGCTTTTCTAGTCTTCATTTTTCTCTGGGTGAAAGGTACTGCACCCACTGCATGAATCGGGGTGGACTACGGCCGTTCATTCCTGGTTGGACAGAGGGGACCAGGCAGAGCTGCAGCTCAGACCCAGGCTGATAACACTTCATGCCTGAGCAGACATAGGAGGCACTAGGACAGTGTAGTTGAATAGGTATGAGGTAAGTCTCAGAGTTTGGGGTAAAAGGAATTGCCTTAAAAAAAATAAAAACAGACTTGTATCTACTGTGTACCATGGTGTCTTTTTATTTATTTCAAAATTACACTTTTATTTTATTATTATTATTATTTTCTTTTTTGTTTTTGTTTTTTTTGTTGTTGTTGTTTTGTTTTGTTTTTTTGAGACAGGGTTTCTCTGTGGCTTTGGAGGCTGTCCTGGAACTAGCTCTTGTAGACCAGGCTGGTCTCGAACTCACAGAGATCTGCCTGCCTCTGCCTCCCAAGTGCTGGGATTAAAGGTGTGTGCCACCAACGCCCAGCGAAAATTACACTTTTAATTTGTGTTTACATTTGTGTACGTGTGCACATGCCATGCATGTGTATGGAGGTCTCAGAGGGCAACTTGCAGGATTTGGTCCTTTCCTTCTACCATGTGGGTCCTGGAGCTTGGCAGCAAGTGCCTTTACCCCCTCCTCACCCCCTTTTTAAAAAAAGGCTGGGTCTCTCGTAGCCCAGGCTGGCCTCTACTGGCTCTATGTAGCACATGGTGGCCTTAAATGTATGATTCCCCTTGCCTTCACTTTGGAGATCTGGGTTATAGGTGTATGTTTATTTATTTATTTTGAGATGGTGTCTTACTGTGCAGCCCAGGCTGTCCTCCAACCCAAGATCTTTCTTCCCCAGTCTCCTGAGTGCTGGAATGGCAAGTGTGTGTCACCACACTCGATTTTACATTTTCTGTTTCTGTAAAATCTACCACTGGGCTAGGGTATGGGTCTCCTGCATCAGATTAGGGTATTTGTCTCCTCCATTAGAGTTAGGACTAAGGGTTATTCTTCTCTTTCTCCTCCTCCTGTTTTTTTTTTTTTTTTTTTTTTTTTTGGAGACAGGGTCTCACTATTCACCCCCAACTGGCCTGGAACTCGATATGTAGACCAGGCTTGAAACTCACAGAGATTGGCTTGACTATGCCTCCGGAGCCAGCAAGCTCAGGAATCCACCTGTCTCTGCTTCCCCAGAGTCCTGGGATTAAAGGCATACACCACCACACCAGGCCTACTTTTTCTTCTTGTCATTCATCTGCTGGGAAAGCTATCCCTTAAATATAGACACACTAGGAAATCCCCAGGATAGCACAGAAGGAGCGATGCTGCAAGATGGAGCTGGCAGCACCTCAAGGTCCTGTCCCTCCCCTGTCCCTTCCATAGCCCCTAGTGGTCTCTACCTTGTACGAGCAGCAGCACGTGGGACTGGGTAGTACCAGCAGCATTGGTGGCCGCACAGCGGTACTGTCCTGCATCAGTCAGCTCCACATGGGCAATCCTAATGACACTTCCACTCTGCACGATGCCAGGCCTTAGGTGTCCTCCAACTTTGCTCCAAGTTACCTGAGGCTTAGGGTCACCCAGTGCCAAGCACTCAAACTCCACGGAGTGGCCGACTACCACGGAGTGCACAGAGGTGCGTACATTGATGAGAACTGAGGGCAAGGCTGGAGGAGAGGCAGGGTGGTGAGCCAGGATAGTGGAGGCCAAGATTGGGGGAGGGGCAGGGTGGTGAGCCAGGCCACAGGAGGTCAAGTCTGGGAGGAGGACGGCCTGGAGGGAGCTCTAGGCACTCAGCCATCTCCTGGCTTGCTTTTTGTGTGGTCACTCACACATCCAATTGTTAAGCTTCCGTTTGTTCATGCACTCAAGTAGCTGCTAATTCTGTCTTCACTACTTTGCTGAGCACCCACTCGTCCACCCATCTCCCTTCTTTCCTTCCTTGCAACACTTGCCACGGCCAGGGCTCCATGCAAGGTGCAACAGGGAAAATAATAATTTTCTTTATCATGCACATTTACAGGCTTTCCTGGGGAGTAGGGGCAGATCCCACCACCACCTGTTTCTTTTCTCTGATCCTGCTGTTAGCAGAGGTCTGAAGCCACCTCCTACCTTGAACAATTAGCTGGGCACTGGCCTGGGCTTGTCCCCAAGGCCCATGGGCCTGACAAACATACGTCCCTTGGCAGCTCTGGTCTAAGTTCTGGATTCTGAGAAGAAAGAAGGGTGACGTTATAAGTAGCCATGGAAAATGTTTGCAGCTGTGCGATTTAAACCAGACAGACCACAGAGCTGGTGAGATGACTCAGTGGTGAGTTGCCTACCCCAAAGCTAGGTGACCTGAGTTTAAGGTGGAAGACAGCTGACTTCTGAAAACTGTCCTCTTAAACATACACACAGTGGCGTGTACATGAATACATGTACACACACTTACTTACTTAAATAAATAAATAAAAACAAACACCAGGGGCTGGAGAGATAGCTCAGCGGTTAAGAACGCTGACTGCTCTTCCAGAGGACCTGGATTCAATTCCCAGCACCCACATGGAAGCTAAAACTGTAACTCCAAGATCTGACATCTCACACAGACTACATATAGGCAAAACATCAGTGAACATAAAATAAGAATAAATAAATTATTAAAACAAACCAACAAACAAAAGCCAAACATGAAACAGTCCAGAATCCAGGGCCAGTGCTAGTGACCAGGATGCAGGTGACAGGGTGGTACACCACACCATCTCGTCCATCCATCCATCCATATAGCCTCTATCTAACCATCATCTACCTATTATCTCTTTATCCATCTGTCTATCCATCATCTATCCATCTATTCTCTCTTTCTCTCGATTTATCTATCTGAGAACTTGAGGCTTCACATATGCCAGCCAGTGCTCTACCAATGAGCTACATTCTCATTTGATTTTCACTTTATTTGGAGACACGCTCTCAACTAAGTTGAGAGCCTTAACTCACTTTGTAACCTTGAAGTTACGATGTTCCCCCTTCAGCCTCCCTATTATAAGCCTGTGCCATGAGGCTTGGCTACCAGGCCCCTCTCAGAAACAGATTTCTTGCTCTAAGGCTCTCTATCACACTGAGTCAAGGTCTCACATCAGAGACCGAGCTGCAGATCTCTGGCCCCATTTTCCTGCCTTTAATAATAGCTGGAATGTAGACTTGGGCACAGTGGCTTACCTCTGTAATCCCAGTCAGTACTAGAGAGGCGGAGGCAGGAGGATCACAGCTAATTAAGAAGCCAATCTGATCCACATAGTGAGTTTCAGGCTGGCCTGAACTACAGAGAGGGACCTGGTCTCAGAAATACCAAAATACCAAAACCAAATAATCCAAAAAAAAAAAAAAATCCCCCCAAACCAAAACAAAAATCCAAACCAAACCAAACCAGTATAGAAGGAACACAGGCCACTGTTAGCAGATGGCCTTCCAGGCTCCAAGAAAGCACTAAGCATTTTAGAGAGAACAGCCTTCAATTTCCTAACTTATTGACCACTGTAAGAACTAAGGTTCAGCCATGTGTTGGTGGTGCACACCTTTAATCCCAGCACTCAGAAGGCAGAGGCAGGCGGATCTCTGTGAGTTCGAGGCCAGCCTGATCTATAGAGCAAGTGCCAGGACAACCTCCAAAGCAACACAGAGAAACCTTGTCTCAAAAAAACAAAAACAAAAACAAAACAAAACAAAACAAAAAAGAACTAAGGCTCAGAGAGCACTAGCAGCTCACTCAAGGACATTGCTCTGTCGTGGCCCCATAGGCAGGTAAAGTAAGTCAGTTCCACTGAGCCTTAGGCTGGGGGGAACCTGAGTCCAGTCCACACCCACCACCGCTCACCGGAGGACTCCGTCCTGTACACTGTGTCCAGGAGGCAGCTGACCTCCCTCCTTGAGCCATCGAAGGTGGGTGCCCCGTTCGTTGGGCACAGCACAGTGGAACTCAACGCTGGCCCCCACATTCTTGGTCTCTAGCTGAGGAGTGACTTGCACAGTGGGTGTGGATCCTACTGGGATGGAGGTTTCAGGGAGATCGCCAGAAGGGCCTGTGGAGACACGTGAGATTTAGTTAGTTAGGATCGCCAGAAGGGCCTGTGGAGACACGAGAGATTTAGTTAGTTAGTTAGGATCGCCAGAAGGGCCTGTGGAGACACGTGAGATTTAGTTAGTTAGTTAGCTAGTTTACTATAACAGGGGCTCATGTAGCACAGGCTATCTTCAAATTCATTAAGTAGCTAAGGATGACCTTGAACTTTGTAATTTCCTGCCTAAATGCTGGGATTACAGTCATATGTCACCACATCTAATTTATATGGTGCTGGGCATTGAAGCCAGGACTCAGTGTAAGTTAAACAAGCACAAGTCATACCCTCTGCCCCCCGCCCCCAGGCTAAGGGCATGAGGTTGTTTGTATAGGGTTTTGAGATGAGGTTTCTCCTCTGTTGTCCTGAGTAGTACTGAACTCCTAGGATCAAGTGCTACCTCAGCTTAGTTATCTTGATGAGCTGGGACAAAGGTCCACAGCATCACACAGGACACCCAAGGCTCTTCTGTACACATGTATGCGTCATATCCCTGAAATACCCGGGTACCAGGATACCCTCATCTCAACATTCAAGGGATGTTCTTCAGATAGTCCTTTCAATACAGATCCACTCATCTGTTCTCATAGTCAATCATTTTCAATCATTTGATGCACCAAGGGCCAGTGTGGGACTGGGCTTTGCCTCTCAGAGTTTGGGCCCTTGGATAGGGAAGGTGGCCCAAGACATGAATAGCCGGGAGGGAGACACTTTCCCCCCCTTCTCTTTACATAAGAAAAACAAAGCTGGGCATTGGTGGCACACACCTTTAATCCCAGCACTTGGGAAGCAGAGACAGGCGGATCTCTGTGAGTTGGAGACCAGCCTGGTCTACAAGAGCTAGTTCCAGGTCAGCCTCCAAAGCCACAGAGAAACCCTGTCTTGAAAAACCAAAAAAAAAATAAAAAGAAGAAAAGAAAAGAAAGAAAAAGAAAGGAAGGAAGGAAGAAAGGAAAAAAAAAAAAGAAAAGAAAGGGCCCACAAGGAAGCTGACTCCTGGTTTCCCAGTTAGACTCTAGCTGCTTACCTTGGACCAGCACTTGGGCAAAGGCCTCAGCTGAGCCCACCTTGTTGGAGACCTGGCAGCGGTAGCGGCCAGAGTCTGCAGGACCTGTGAGCTCCAAGTGCAGCAGCTCGTTCCTAGCAACAGCCCTTTCAGGGAGGATGCCAGCCACACGGCTCCACTGGAAGGTGAGTGGTGGCGTGCCGTGAGCCAGGCATTGCAGCTGAACTGGCTTCCCTGGCTGCACTGAGGTATGCTCTGGAATGATGGTGGCATAAGGAGGACCTGAAGAACACACATACAGAGATCAGGTGGGAAAGAACCACAGTAGGTAGCTGCATCCAGATAATGCAATCAAGCTCCTAGGGCCCAAGAGGAGACATGGGTGACAGTCAGGGCAGGCTCTGGAGTCATCTAGATGGAAGGGGATGCTGGGGTTCTGCCCAAAGAGGAGCTTGGCAGGGGAACATAGACCTCCATGCAACACTAACGTAAGTCCACGAAGAGGGTATAGGAGACTTACTCTCCACATGCAGGACAACAGTGGCTTCAGTATGCCCAGCAGAGTTGGTGGCATTACAGATGTACTGGCCTGAGTCCTGCTGGGCCACCCGGGGAATGACCAGTGTGTTGCCTTCTACCCGGTGCTGCCAAGGCAGGGGGGCACGCAGCTTGGACCAGTGGATGGTGGGCGGGGGATTGCCTATAGGGTTGAAGATGGCTTGGTCACTAGGCTGTTCCAGGGATCAATCAAGTGTGTGTGGTGATAGGAAAAGGTTGTAAGTGACCTATTCCTCCATGGGACTGGCTAAGTGGATGCTTCTGGGGCGTGGCATCATTTTCAGACGAATCCAAGCCCCAGAGCAGCACTGCTCTGCCTTTCTGTGGGGCTCCACCACACCACACCTGTGGCCGAGCAGTGAAGAGTGGCCGTGTGTCCAGCCTCCAAGGTCAGCTCAGCTTCTTCAACTTGGACCCGAGGGGCGCCTGGGGCCACAGTGCCGGTGTCCACGATCACCTCCACCTGCTTCTGTGCCTTGCCGAGGGCATTCTGGGCCAGGCACACATAGGTGCCTGCATCTGATGGTTTAGCTGATGAGATCTAGAAGAAAACAGTCTGGTTTTGAAGGTGCCTGGCAGAGGACACTGATACTGAACCCTTCCTTTGTATTTTGATTATTGTGTTTGTTTTCTGAGCTAGGGTCTCATGTAGCCCGGGCTGGCCTGGAATTCTGTTTGGTGACAATCTTCATCTCCTGCCTCCACACCCTGAATGATGCTTCAAGTACAGGCCTATGCTACCATGATTTGTTCATGTGGTTCTGGGAATGGAAACCAGGATTTGGTACACAATAGACAAACACTTTCCCAACTGAGCAGTATCCCTAGATGCCTTCCTTTGCTTTTAGCTCTTCTCTGTGCTGCTGGAAGGTTCACTTTCACAACTGCCCATGGGTCCATCTATCTGCTAAGCAACCAATCTACCCATCACTCAGCTACCCGTCCACCCAGGCTTCTGAGTCATTAATTAGTTCTTCCTTTCATCCTCTCTTCTCCCACCTTCCAATCCCCACTAACCTCCTCTTATCTGTCCATCTACTTATGTCCCCTCTAGGCCTCTAGGCACCTGCTTCAGTCAGCTCCTAGGAAGGACCTCAGACCCAGACATGGCGCAGCCCCAACCTCACCTTCAGCATTGCATGGCTATTCATGAGTCCATATATCCGCGGCTCCAACTTGACAGGGGTGCCGAGTCGGGTCCAACGGGGGGAAGAGCGGGGTTCCCCAGCACTGACGCACTCCAAGGTGATGTCCTTACCCATTTTCACATGCACAGGGCCCTCAGGGAGCACAGACACTGTAGGAGACCCTGAGGGAGGAATGACACGCAGAGCTTTGGGTTACAGACGAGCCACAGTCCACAGCTGAATACCATTCTTAGAGGGCTGGCAGTGGTGGGACTGATTTTAAACCTGGAAAAGCTGGGCTGGCAAGAGGGCCAGAACCATGGGTTGGTGTTTCTCACCGTGCACACTGAGATTGACGACACTCTGGGCCACACCATAGGCATTGGAAGCCACGCAGCGATAGGCTCCATGGTTGCTGGGCCGGGTGCCCACGATGGTAATGATGGAGCCATTGGGGCTGATGTGGACATTGTCTGTGGGGTTGCATTGGTAAAGTGTGATGGTTAGTGTTAGCTGTTCCTTGACGGGATCTAGAACTGCCTCAGAGATAGGCCTGTGAGGGATTACCTAGATTAGGTTAACTGGTGTGGGAAGATACATGTTAACTGTGGAGAAAGCTATCACCTGGGCAGGAGATTCTGGACTGTATGAAAAGAGACAGTGAGCTGAACAGAGGTATTCCCTCATCCCTCCCTACTTCCTGGCTGTGGATGTCACATGACCAGCTGCTTTGAGCTCTTGCTGCCTTGACGGAGCATAATCCCCAAGCTGTGGCCTGAAATAAGTCCTATTTCCCCCCACAGTTGCTTTCATCAGGGTATTTTATCACATCAACACCAAGGGAGGGAAGGCTAGTTCACTGTTGATCCTTTGGGTCTGGACACAGGGCTCGAAGTCATAGATGGTAAGTGGGAGCCCTGGCAGTCTTCTGGGTCCTGCTCCGTCACTACATGGATGGGTTCAAGCCTCACTCAGAGCCACTGGGGAACATGGCATGGACCCAGCTTTCCACCCTGTGTCTCACAGCAAATGGCCCTCCCTCCTGCCTCCAGCCCAGGCAGCCAGCCACTCACCCTCCAGCTCTTGGTTTCGGGTCTTCCACTCAAGGTTGATGGGTGTTGCTCCCTCGTGGATAAGGCACTTGAAACTGGCATCTTGGCCCTGTTGCACTGTGAGGCTGGGTGGCTCGATGGAGATGACGGGGCTCCTGAGACCTGGATGGAGCCCGAGGGTCAGATTCTAGGCTCATTTGGGTGGGCTGGCTCCACTCAGGTAGGTCCTGTCTAGGCTCTAGGCCTCCCTCCCCACTCCGGACATTCCCTATACTCACGGTAGGAAGACCCTGCGCTGGGCGGGACTGTGACTGTGAAGGAAGCTTCATGCTCAGGGCGGGAGCTACCAGCCACTTGGCACACATACTCGCCAGAGTCAGCAGGGGAGATATGGTGGAGCCTCAGCAGGGAGCCATGAGTCTGTCAGAAGAGTAAGGGAAGGAATCCATCAAGGGTTCTGGAGATGAGGGAAGTGAGGCCTAGAGCTAGGCCTGCAGCTGTGGGCTGAAGGAGCTTCCCGCACAGAATCTCTCGAGTTTGACACATTCTCTTTACTGAGTGGGACATGGGTTTAAATGCTAGTTGTAAAGCAATGCCAGGAGGAACGTCTTTCAGCAACTGTTCTCTTGGTCTGGGGCACTCTTCCCTGATGGATACCTGTTTCCCACGATCCCATGAATGCTGGGGTCTGTGTGGGGCTTAGGTGCAGAGGAAACTACAGGAGACCTCGCCTACTCCAGGCTTCTCCCCACCCTGACCAAGTACCTGGTGTCGTGCAGGCAGGCTGCCCCCTCGTTTGTGCCATGTGACCTGGGCATGGGCTTGCCCAGGAACCACACAGTTCAGATCCAAAGTCTGTCCCTCAGCCACGTGGGAGGAGGAGGACTCTATATAGATAGGCTGGGCCAGTCCTGGAGCTGCAGGCACAGAGGTGGGGAACAGTCAAGGCTCCTGGGGTGAGGGTAAGGACCTAACTGTGGTGATACTCTTAGAGGGGACACAGCTGAGCCATATCAGCCAAGGCAGTGTCCCTTCCCTGGTTTTGAGGTGTCTTGCTGAGAACCAGGACTGATTGAGGGTGATTGAAGGACTTAGTAACCCAGACACAGATTATGGAAGCTTTGACCTGGGTGGGCTTGATCCTCAGCCATATGAAAGCCAATGACCCAAGAACAATGCCATGCCTAGACAGGTATGCTGACAACTGTCTGTAATTCCAGAACTTGAGGCAGAGAGAGAGGAGTAGCATGAGTTAGAGGCCAGTAAGGGCTACAAAGTGAGACCTTGTCTCAAAAAAAAAAACAAAAACAAAAAAAAAACAAAAAAAAAACAACCCTCAAAACAAAAAACAAGCAAAACGAAACAAAAAAAAACAAAAACAAAAAAAAACCAAAACGAAACAAAAAAAAACAAAAACAAAAAAAAACCAAAACGAAACAAAAAAAAACAAAAACAAAAAAAAACCAAAACGAAACAAAAAAAAACAAAAACAAAAAAAAACCAAAACGAAACAAAAAAAAACAAAAACAAAAAAAAACCAAAAAAAAAAAACAACCCTCAAAACAAAAAACAAGCAAAACGAAACAAAACACAGCAGCAACCACAAAATCTACCAAAATAAAGGCCCTATGTGAAGAAAAAGCAAGGCCAGGAAAGCACCATCCCCAACATCACCCACTGCTCCATGTCACTCACCAGGGATGGGCCTGGGGTTAGTGGACTCAATGTTGACCAGGACAGAAGCCTCCAGGGTACCTGAGCTGCCAGTCACTTGGCATGAGTACTCGCCAGAGTCCGCTGGGGACACATGGTTCAGCCTCAGTATGTGACCGTGGACCTGCATAGAGGGGAGAGGGTGGGGAGCACTGCTTTGCCTCTAGGTGCCCCGCCCTGGCCTACACAAAACTCTGCCTCCTATGTAACAGACAGTAGAGTTTAGGAAGTAGGGTCTTGAGGAAGTGCTGGGTACTGGGGGTAATCCTGTTGTGCCTGGTCTGTTTGCAAACACTTGTCTCTAGGTGGCTGTACAATGTTTCTCAAACTGTCACGGGCTGCTAGGGCCACCCTCCCTTCAGGGATGGGCTCAGGAAATGATCACTGGGGTTGAGGAAGAGGGGCACATGCTGCTCTTTCCAGGCTCTGTACCTGGTGCCCGGCGGGCAGACTGCCTCCACGTTTGTGCCATGTGACCTGGGCATGGGCCTGCCCAGGAACCACACAGCTTAGATCCAGGGTCTGCCCCTCAGCCACTCGGGAGGAAGAGGTCTCGATGCGGATGGGCGGGACTCCACCTGGGGCCAGGGCACAGCTAGTGGTCAGTGGCTAAGGCTGCTCAGTCTCTCCCGGGTGCTCTACTGTGCACACTGGTTTCAAGGGGCAGGTGGCTTCTTTTCCTTTTCAGGCCACTCAGATTGGAGGGAAGGACTCGCTGAGGATGGGGACCCCTCTTTTTTCCTAGCCCCACCCCCAGGCAACCATATACTCCCAGAACCACTGGGCTAGGCCCCTCCACAGAGCCATTGACACTTCCCAATCTGCAGTAGGTGGTAGCTAGGAATGCAGACCTTGGGGCCAGACTGCAAGAGCTCAGCTGCTAGCATGGCCACTTATTGTGTGATCTTTGGGAAGCTACCTCTGTGTCTCTATTTCCCCAACTGTAAAATGGAGAACTGTCATCCAGCCTCAGGGCTAACAGGATGAAATGCAGTTAATATGAACAGCAGGAGGATTGGATCTGAGCAACTGACATCACATCATGCCTGGGTCCCCTGTTTTCCTTTAATTGAACCATTTTAAAACCTAGTCCTTAGCTCCACTCTAGTAATAACTACCTCAAACCACAACAGGTCTGAGGTGCCGCAGTTGTTAATATACCACAACTAGTAGATACACTCATCAAGACCATCCCAAATGACCTCTAACAACCCACAGGGCAAGGCCAGGCTCTCGGGACCTCAGTAGATTGCCTATACATCGAGATAGTAGAGGGTAAAAACCCCACTAGCAAGAGCCCCACTGTCCTTTGTCCATGGAGGACAGCAATGTGGAGAGTTCTTTGTGTGACGTCTCCAGGTGGGGACACTGATACCACACTTGAAAGCTGTGTTCTCAAGCCCATGAGAGAGAGAGAAACTCATACCGTCTGGCCTGGCCCTGTGTTCTGGAACAGCGAGGGAGGGCAAGAGACAGGAGGCAGAAGTCTGGAATCAGACACCTGCTGTCTCCAGGCCTCAAAGATACCCAGCTCAGCTGATATTCTCCCTCCCTTGTCTCTCTTTCCAGACCCATGCAGGGATCCTCACCAGGGACGTGGGCATTAGTGGTAGGTGCTGTAATGGAGACCAGGACTGAAGCTTCCAGAGGGCCAGAGCTGCTCAGAACTCTGCACACATACTCGCCCGAGTCAGCAGGGGACACCTGGTGCAGCCGCAGCCTTGAGCCGTAGGCCTGGTCAGGGGTGGGCCAAAGACAGAGGATGAGGGATAAGATATCAACCGAGAGGCCTGGAAGGTTGGGAGCCAAGGTCCAGCCTCCACTCCAGGTGTGTGAGGTATCCCCACAGGGGTCTCATGCCTACTTCCTGGGCAGAGCAAACCAGCACTCCCGGCCAGCATTTCTCTCATTTCTTTTCCATTTTATACCTGATGTCGAGCAGGGAGGCTGCCCCCTCGCTTGTGCCATGTGACCTGGGCATGGGCATGTCCAGGGACCACACAGTTCAGATCCACAGTCTGTCCTTCGGCCACATTTGAAGAAGAGGATTCGATTCTGATGGGTGTGGCACCGGCTGGGGCTGAGGACAGAGGAGAGCAGATTAGCCTGGGCTGGATTCTCAAGTGGGGTATAGGATCCACAGAACAGAAAACCCATAGCCCAGGGTAGTCTCAACTACCCCCTGGTAAGCACCATCAGGGTGCCAGGCACTGCTCTAAGTACCCACATCCTTGACCAACACACTTAACCCTCACACTTCCGTACCCTGGGGTGATGGAAACATCCTTTTATATTGACTTTATTTTTTATTTACAGATGTGAGCCACTGTGCTCGGCATAAAACGAAATTGTGTGTGTGTGTGTGTGTGTGTGTGTGTGTGTGTACGTGTGTGTGTGTGTGTGTGTAGCAGTCAACCTTAGGTGCTATTTTTCAGAGACATCAATCTTGTTTTTATTCATTTATTTATTTGTTTTGGAGGCAGGGTTTTACTCTGTAGCCCAGGCTGGCCTCCAACTCATAGAGATTGGCTTGCTTCTTACCCCCTGAGTGCAGAATGTTGTCCTTTTAATTTTTGGTTTCCCAAGACAAAGTTTCTCTATATAACAGTCCTGGCTCTCCTGGAACTTGCTCTGTAGACCAGGCTGACCTCAAACTCACAGAGATCCTCCTGCCTCTGCCTCCTGAGTGCTGGGATTAAAGGTGTGCACCACTACTGCCAGGCTGCATCCAGTTTTTCTATGTGGGCTCTAACTCAGGTCTTCATGTGAGTATGGCAAGCACTTTACTGATGGCGCTATCTCCCCAGCCTACAAACCAAATTTCTTTCTGTTTTTTCTTCTGTAGTACTTGGGTTGAACCCAGGGTCTTTGCATGCTAGACAAGAACCCTAGCACTGAGCCACACCCCCAGCCCTCTTTTTACTTTGGTTTTGAGATAGGGTGTCACTAAATTGCATAGGCTGGACTTGAACTTTTGATTCTCTTGTCCTAGCTTCCCAAAGAGCTAAGATTATAGGCCTTTGTCATTGGGCCTGGCTTGTTAACGATTTTTGCCTACAAGGCTAGTGTGACAGTTTAGCTTTATGAGGCAGCAGTGATCTGTGTCCCCATTTCACTGTCAAGGAGACCGAGGCTACGAACAAAGTGTAACTTATTCACTGCTGGAGTGACACAGCAGGATTTGAACACAGACACTCTTTGTAAACCCTTGCCTTCACCTACACCCAGGTCTGTGGGCTTCAACTCAAGGTTTCTCTTCCGAGGGAATTGTGTTTCCCTGTCCCTTTCCTGGATCAGGAGTCAGACCTACCAGAGGGGCTGCTGTTGCTGGGGGAGACTGAGATCATGATGGAGGTCTCCTGAGCATCAATGTTGTTGTTGGCTCGGCACACATACTCGCCGGAGTCAGCCACTGACACCTGGTGTAGCCGCAGACGAGAGCCGTGGGCCTGGGACAGATGGGGATAAGACAGACAGGGCTGAGATCAGCAGCCACGGCCCCACTGACTCCAACCTCCCTTGCCAGGCCTGCTGAGGCTGTCTTACTTATTTTTGTGTATATGTGTTTTTGTGAGTGTGTATGTATGTGCATGGGTGTGGATGTACTGATGCACACGGTTGTGCCCCCATGTGGAGGTCAGAGGAGGCCGTCAGGTGTCTCCACTATTACTGTCCCCTTTGTTCCTTTGAGGCAAGGTCTCTCTGTGAACTTGGGAGTGTTTTACCAACTAGGCTGGTAGCCAGCAAGCCCCAGAAGCACCCTGTCTCTGCCAACTTCAATGTTGGGATTACAGGCAGGTGCAGGACCATACCTGACTTATTACATGAATGCTGGAATTTGAACTCAGGTCCTCACACAGACCAGAATGGCCTGGGAACTTACTAAACAGCTGAGGATAACTTTGAACTTCTAATCCTTCTGCCCTCACCTCCTGAGAATACAACACAGCACAACTTCCGGTTTTCTGTGGCGCTAGGGAGGGAGTCCTCATGCCAGGCAAGCACACGACCAACTGAGCTACATCGCTGGCCCTGCTGAGGCTGCCTTTTGTCTACCCAAAGTCCAGATGGCTGGAGTACACTAGGTGTGAGAAGGAGCCCTCCATCCTGAGAGATCGAAGGGCCACCCCACTGCCTCAGTTCCTCTTAGTACCTGGTGTTTGGAAGGCAGGCTGCCTCCACGCTTGTACCATGTGATAGTGGCCTGGGGCTGCCCAACCACCACACAGTTCAGATCCAAGGTCTGTCCTTCCACCACTATGGGAGATGAGGTCTCAATCCTCATTGGTGGGGAGACACTGGGCACTGGGGACAGAGGAGGGTAGGGGAGAGAATGCAATTAGACAATAGTGACAATACTGGGGACCTCTGTCTCCCCAACACTCACTTGCCCAGCCCCTTGTCCACCACATTCTCACCATGGGATGGACCTCTGCTCTCGATGTTGACAATGAGCGAAGTCTCCTGGGAGCCAACGCCATTACTGACATGACACACGTACTCTCCGGAGTCCGCTGGGGTCACTTGAGGGATCCGGAGGCGGGAACCCACGATCTGGAGGAACAGATGACAGTGGGTGGAGGTGGAACCTACATGTCATAGGCCCTACAGACATCAGATCCTGGAAGTCCTCTCCCCAACCTTGCCTCAGTGCCTTCCTGAGGCTCCCGGTGTGACACCCTCTGGGTCCTATGGACGAAGCCTCTAGTCTTTGTGCTGTTCCTATACTTCACCCCTCCAAAGGCCTACTGAGCCCCCACACCTGTCACACCCTGCTGTCATTTAGTATGTCAGCTTCCCTTTAGACCACCAGCTGTATGAGGGCTCAGCAGTGCCAGGCACAAGCAGTGGCTTCAGAGGAGCCCGAACCAGGGCCAGCAGGATCAATCTGTACCCCAGTGCCAGTCCAAGTCTACCCAGCAGAGATGCTCAGTGTTTGTTGAGTGACTGAATGAGCACAGGACTAAGGGCTAGAATCCACTCTGGACTGCCTGCCAGACTGCTGTCCTGTCCATTGGCTCTGTACCTGATGCCGGCTGGGTAAGCTGCCTCCACGCTTATACCAGGTGATGGTGTGGGGGGCGTGGCTGGCCACCAGGCAGTTCAGGTCCAGTGTGTGCCCATTGGCCAGTGAGGGTGACGAGGACTCAATGCGAACTGGGTGCACCACGCTCTGGGCTGGAATGAGACAGAATGCAGACTGAGGGTGCAGCTGGGCCCCTCACAGCCCCTGTTAGTCACTGCAATTGCTAAGACACTCACAGTGAGAGGGGATGAGGCGCTGCTGGATGGTGACAAGGACAGAAGCTTCGTGGGTGCCCGAGCCACTGACCACACGGCACACATACTCCCCGGAGTCAGCTGGGGTCACCTGGAGCAGCCTCAACCTTGAGCCATGTACCTGAGAGGAGTGGGATAAAGGCACCAGGTTGAGAGACCAGCATGGCAGCCACCCACCAGACTCTAGTTCCCTTGCCTGGTTCCCCCCCAGCCCAGTTAGCTAAGTTAGCTAGGGGTTGTACAGGTTATGACTGGTTAAGTCACATTGAGCCTGCCACCTAAATGCACACAGGGCTTGCAGAGACTCAATCAGCACTTGTTGACAGGAAGTCGTTTGACAGGTGACCCTAAGAATCAGAGAAGTCATGCAACTGGCTCAAGGTCACCCAGCAGGCAAGTGACGAGTGCATCTGAACTACAATATGGTTAAATTCACAGTCTGTGCTCTTTGTTCCCCAGTTATGAGGGCTCTTTAGGCTCTTCCTTGGCTTTCCACCTCCTACCTGATGCCGGGCAGGGAGGCTGCCCCCACGTTTGTGCCAGGAGATCTGGGGGTGAGCCTGCCCAGCAACAAGGCAGTTCAGGTCCAAGCTCTGCCCTTCTGCCACGTGGGAGGGAGATGTCTCGATTCGGACTGGAGGGGTGACCCCGAGTGCTAGCAACAGAGGGCAGAGTGTCGGTTCCCGGCAGATGAGAGATGGGTGTGGGTGGGGACAGGAGCCCACTGGACTCATGGAGGCAAGGTAGGCATGCTGCCTCTGGGTCTTGTCATGTCATGGCTGCAGTGGAGAGTCTCCTTGTGTGGTGTCCAGCCCCATGCACTTCCCGTCCCCTCCCAACATGGCTACTCACCAGGCCCAGAGCCTGCAGGCTCAATGGTGACAAGGACCGAGCTCTCCAGAGGCACAGGCCCTCCCTCCACCCGGCACACATATTCTCCTGAGTCAATAGGAGACACCTGGTACAGCCGCAGCAGGGAGCCATGGGTCTGGCAGAGAGAGGGTGGCATTAGGGAGGAATTCTCCCAGGACCCCAACACAACACCCACAATCTGCAAACTGCATCCCCCTGTGAGCCCCTGGGCTCACCATCAGCTCTGGGTCAATCCAGTCTTGTGCTAGGAGTGGAGGCTGCTGGGAGAAGCCCTTGAGAACTGGCATGCATCTTCCCACACTGTGTCATGCTAAGCACAGACTCTCCAATCCCAGTCAAGACTCTGCAGTGGCTATCTGATGACTGCAAACATTTCCCCCCTCGGGAGCACATCACATAGTGCAGTCAGTGGGGTCGAAAGGCTGAAAACCCCAGCACACAAGCTGATTAGCTGCAATGACGGCTCAGTACTTGTGCAAGCCAAGAGCCCTGAGAATCCACAGCTGAACTTGGTCCAGAGACAACTATGAAGACAGGACTGCTCTCTACTTGTAGACCCTGAGCCTACAAGCACCGAGAGGTTGAACAACTTGCCTAAGGTCACAAGCCTGGGTGACAGATACAATTCATACCTAGGGTGGCCCTGCCTAGGCTTTAGGTCTAGCCACAGTGGACCACACCAGGATGATGGGGCCCATGCCATCGATTTTCCCCACCCACAATTCCCTTTCTTCTCGGCTCCTTTGCCCTCTATCCTCTACCTGGTGCCGGGCAGGCAGGCTGCCTCCTCGCTTGTGCCACGTGACCTGGGCATGGGCCTGTCCCTGCACCACACAGTTTAGATCCAGGGTCTGCCCTTCAGCCACATGAGAGGAAGATGACTCAATACGAATGCGTGGCGTGCTACCCGGGGCTGGAAGAAAAGTCATAAACAGATGGATTCTCTAAAGCCACACCAGCCTCCCCTTCCTTCCTCTCCACATCCCAGCCTAGCCAAGTGGGCTACTCACGGTAGGCAAAGTTGGCCCCTTGGTTGCCTGTGACCTTGACTGTGATGGTGGCTTCTTGTCCATTGCCTGCTCGGCAAACATATTCTCCAGCATCTACTGGGGAAGCCTGGAAGATGTACAGGCGGGAGCCACGGACCTGGACAGTCATGAGAGCAGTATAAGAGGGCTTTCCAGAGCCCAGCGGGGGTCCCACACCTGCCTGCCAGGCTGTAACCCCAGTATAGCTTACCACCCATGGACCCTTCCACATTCTAGGAGTGAGTACCTGATGCCGGGCAGGCAGGCTGCCCCCACGTTTGTACCATGTGACCTGCGCATGGGCTTGTCCCGCCACCACACAGTTGAGATCTAGCGTCTGACCCTCAGCCACTGTGGAGGATGAAGACTCAATTCTGACAGGCAGGACAGGTCCAGGGGCTGTAGGGACAGTGGGAAGGTAATAGATACTTCCCAAGCTCCAGGGCTGGAACTCCCTCTTGGATCTGGCTCAGCCTTGTAATCTGAGGTCAGGCCTCCATTTCAGAAACTTGACAGCCCTGGCTTGAAGCCCTCAGCTCAGTACTCTGTTGGAGGACTCAGGATGAGGATCTCACAGGAAGCAGGAAGAGAGACAAAGTAAGTAAATAAGACAGGCAGGGGCCAGATGGGGTGGCGCACGCCTTTAATCCCAGCACTCAGTAGTCAGAGGCAGAGGCAGATCTCTATGAGTTCAAGGCCAGCCTGGTCTACAGCATGAGTTCCAGGACAGCCAGGGCTGTTACACAGAGAAACCCTGTCTTGAAAACAAAACTAAAACAAACAAACAAACAAAAACAAAAAAACAAACAAAAAAGAAAGAAAAGAAAAGACAGGCAGGAGTAAGGCTAGGGTGGAGGGGGGAGGCAGGAGTAGAAACCAAGGGAGTGACATGGCCAGGGATAGCATGATGGGAAATATGGGTCATTCAGACAAAGCAGTTGGCCTAAAGCCAAAGCCTGGGTGGCCTACTATCCCCAGGTAGCAGTAGGAGCCATAGATGGGGACATTACTCCCTGGAAGACTTCTGCCTCTCACAGCTTTCTGTATCACTGGGAGCCACTCACCAGGGATGGCCTCGGAAGGTTCAATGGTGACCAGAACAGAGGACTCTATGTGCTCAGAGCCAAGGACCACATGGCACACGTACTCGCCCGAGTCAGCAGGGGACACCTGGTGTAGTCTCAGCAGGGGACCGTGGGTCTGTGTGGATAGGGAGGACTGAGGGTTAAGCAGGGCCCAAAGTGTCCCCATCCATCCCCTCTAGCAGGTTGGCCCTGGATGGCTTTACCTGGTGCCGGGCAGGAAGGCTGCCTCCACGTTTGCGCCATGTCACCTGTGCCTGCCCAGGCACCACACAGTTCAGATCCAAGGTTTGCCCCTCAGCCACATGGGAGGATGAAGACTCAATGCGGATAGGTGGGGTGCTGCCAGTGGCTGGACACAGAGAGGGCGGTTAGAGGCCCAGCGTGAATCTTATTGGTACCCTGAGCAGAGTCGTGTGCACCTTTCTTTCCCCACCACTAGCTCCAGGCTCTAGCTTGAGGTGATAAGATGTAGGGACCCAAGAACTTTCTCAGGCCAGGCAATAGGATGCACAGTAATGCTGCTGCTCTCTTCTCAGAACACCAACTATAGTTTCCCAACACGCTTCACGGGCCCCATGTCCCCTAACCATACCCTGATGGCTTCACAGTTCCCATCAAGCCAAGCACTTTCTGACCTGATAGGTGTTAAAACCACACCCATACCCAGCAGGTAACCTACAAATGGCACAGTCTACACAGAGCGGGAAAATGAGGTTGACAGAGGTCGAAGAACCAGCTCAAGGTTGAAAAGGGGGCAGAACCCAGATTTGAACCCAGGTCAGCCTAACTCCCGGCTCAGTGTGAAAGCCAACACTGTGTTTTGCAGGTAGAGTCTTATTGGGCTTGAGGCAAACTGGGTCAGCATCTACTCTACCCCAAGACTTCTGGCTTCTGGAGCAAGCAGCAGAGGGTAACAGGAAGACTGCATCCTGATGATCTTGGAGAGATCGTAGCATCCTTCCCTGCAGCTGGGAGAGCCAATGGCTCTGCCCCACTCAGCCCTGCTGGCATCTCACCTGGGGTGTAACTGGGGCCTGAATGGACACCGTGAAGGACAGAGACAACAATGGAAGCCTCCTTGGGGCCCAAGTCACTCTCTACTCGGCACACATATTCTCCAGAGTCCGCTGGTGAGACCCGGGGGAGCCGCAGCCTGGAGCCGTGGACCTGGGCAAGGTGGGGGCAGAGGTGAGGATGGGCTGTGATTACCACTCCCACTGAGCCTCAGTAGTTCAGTCATCCAACTTATAGGCTCCACTCTGAGCCATTCACACTAGGCTGGGAGCCAGGAGGGTGGGAACTGTCCTGGTCCTAAAGCACAGGAGAGCTTGGCAGCTGAAGCACCCAAAACCCCCTACACCCTAAGGCTATCCGCAGCCAGTGCCCCTGTACCCCAGTCCCAGCCTTAGGCTGGAAAAGCATCCTACCTGGGCGTGGGGAGGTAGGCTGCCCCCTCGCTTATACCATGTGACCTGGGTATAGGTCAGCCCCATCACTGCACAGTTGAGGTCAAGAGTCTGTCCTTCAGTCACAGATGGCGATGAAGACTCGATCCTGACTGGCACCGAGCTGGTACCTGAGGCTGTGGCCACAGTGAGATGAGCATACCTCAAGTGAGGCTTGGCTCACCTTACCCATAATGTTAGCCCTGGAGGAGGTCCCATACCTGAGAGAACGACCACCTGAATTCGGGCCTGAGCGGTGCCTGTGGGGCTGGTGGCCACACAGAGGTAGAAGCCAGCATCAGCAGGTGTGATGGCTGGGATGAGCAGCGTGGGGATTTCTGTGTTGTCTGACCGGGCCTACCACATGGAGAGAGTGCTCAGGTATTGGGAGGGGGTCTGCTACTGGCAGACTTGGAGGGAGCAAGTCCTACACCAAGATCAAGGCTCAGTGGGACTCCAAGAACCACGGAATTGGGGACTATTAGGATACAGGCACATGGAATGGGGATCCTGGAATCGAGCAGTAAAGGGGTGAGTGGGGTCAAGGGTGACTGGGGTATGGGATCTACATAGTAAGTACAGGGAGCCTGAGGAGGGAGAGACCATGGAGGGACAGGTGGTTGAGTGCTGGGACTCTGTTGACCCCACTGACCTGGGACAGCTGGGTGGCTCACCTGTGGGGGCAGGCTGCCTCCCTCCTTCCTCCAGGTGATGCTGGCACTGGGCACTCCTGCTGCCCTGCAGTACAGCCTGACTGTGTGGCCCTCGTACACCTGGGTCCTCTCGGGGCTCACCTGGACCCTGGGTCCACTGCCCCCTGCAGACAGAACCCCTATGAGGATGCCTCTCTGAGCCTCCCCCAGCCCTGCCCCCACCTCAAGGCCTGCTCTCTCACCGTGCACCTGAAGCATGGCCCTAGCTACATGCTGCCCCGCACTGCTGAGGGCGCGGCACAGGTACTGGCCCTGATCTGAGGGCTCGATTGCTGGCAGGCGCAGGATGCCACCGTGGATCTGAGCCTTCTGAGGAAGCTGGCCACTAGGTCCTCCTGGTGTGGGAACACGGGTCAGCATACCCCGGGAATGGGCCGACTCCTGCCCTGTACCCCTCACTCAAAAAACGCCAGGGTCTGAGTGTCACTCCCATCACAGCCTCACCTGTCCATTCCAGAGTGGGTGTGGGGTTCCCTGTGGCACTACAGCGGAACTCAGCCAGTTGTCCAGGCTGCACAGTGAGCTGTGGCGGGTGTATGGAGACCACAGGGGCAGTTGAGGTACCTGAAACTAACAAGCCAGGAGCAAGGATGAGATATGATCAGGGTGGGGACTTTTCTCCACCGATAGCCCCTTGCCTGTCGCAGCTTCTGCTCTAGCCCGGCATAGCCATTTGTCCACCCAGTAGCTGGAGAGGGCTTTGAAAATTTCATGGGCCAATTGCTTCCTTATCTAAGGCCCACCCATAGTACTCGAACTCCTCTTTTTCGGAAGAGGGTTCACAATGTTGCCCAGACTCACAGTGCTTCAGCCTCAACCTCCAACTGCTGGGATAACAGGCCTGCATCTTCCCCTCACTTAGTGCTATCCCAACCCTCCAATCCCTCTCACCCCTGGCATTCATCACCACACACAAGCGTCTTGTTTCTGCTCTCTCACTTCCCCTGACATACACTTCAGGAGGTCCAAGACACAGTTTGTCCCTCTCTGTCCCCGCTTCTTCAGAGCCTAGAGCATGTAGGGGATCCCTGGGGCCAGACTCAGATCACAACAAGGCATACCCTGAACATGCAGCGTGGCTGTGCCCTGGTCCATGGCGAACATGTTGGAGCCAGTACACACGTAGGTGCCCGCATCACTTGGCTGCACATTGCGGATGGTCAGGATGCCGTTGAAGTCCATAGCACGAGAGGGCAGCTTCCCATTATGCAGGCGGGTCCATACCAGGGTGTAGGCTGGAGACTGCAGGGAAGCATCAGGGTGAGGGACATGCGTGGGCTCAGGGTGCCCACGAGACAGACTCCCCCACTGCTCCCTGTCTGCTCACTTTGCTCTTGGCTGTGCAGATAAAGGTGACATCAGCTCCAGGCCGCACACTCTGGCTCCTCTGCTCCTCCACGGTCACTGTGATGGGCTTGCTGGGAGCCTCTGTGAATGGGAGGTCTCCAGTGAGTTCCACAAGCCTGCTGTGTCACTTTCTCTTAGGCCTGCTTTCCCGTTCTCTTCTATAAGACAGATCTTATTCCGTTTCCCTGACTGGCCTGGAACTCACCATGTAGACCAGGATGGCTTCAAATTCAGATCTTCCTGCCTCTGTCCCTTGTGTAAGCTGTCTTTCTCTCTCTCTCGGTTTTTCGAGACAGGGTTTCTCTGTAGCTTTGGAGCCTGTCCTGGAGCTCACTCTGTAGACCAGGCTGGCCTTAAACTCACAGAGATCTGCCTGCCTCTGCCTCCTGTGTTCTGGAACTAAAGGTGTGGGCCACCACCTCCCAGCTCATTCTCTTTTAAAATAGACTCTCATTGCTGCAGGCTGGTTTCAAACTCCTTATGTAGCTAAAAATAACCTTAAACTTTTGATCCTCCTGCCTCAGCCTCCCAAATGCTGGGATTACAGGTTTGTACTACCATACCTAGTTTTTAAGTAATAATATATGTGTGTGTGTATATGTGCATATATAGATTATGTCTATATACGTGTGAGTATAAATGCCTGCAGAGGTCAGAAGAGGGTATCAGATCCAAGTTGGAGTTACAGGTGGTCGTAAGCCACCTACACTGGAAGAGCAATGTATGCTCTTAACCACTGAGCCATATCTCCAGCCCCAACATCTGGTTTTTGTGTGGTTCGAACATAAGGCTTTGTGTGTGATTGGGAAGCCCTCTACTAGCTAAGCCACATTCCCAGCCCACCTCCTCGGGATATCTCTTCCTTTCTAGTACAGCTGGGATGCCATTCCACTCCCTGGTGCCTCCCTAGACCCCACTACCCACGTCTCTCCCTTCAGGCATTGAGCAACCAGCATGTGGTCCAGTGGGAGTGCACTGGCTGCAGTTCATCATCCCAGGACACAAAATAGCTCTTAGCGCTTCACACTTCATTGCAACTGACTTCTCCATCTAGTTTGCGTCCCCAGATAGCTATTTCTTACCTCCTTCCATCTCCCTCAACCTTCCTGCCCACCATCCCACCTTAAAGCCCATGGCTTCAACGTGCACTTGTTCAGAAAGCAGAAACCACCAGTCATCAGGTGCACTGGATCCTTCCTTCCTCTGGTGTCACATCAACCCCTGCCTCCTGCCACTGCTTCATAGTCCAATGTGTTCTAGAAATGTCCATAGTTCCATGTACTTCCAGATACTGCCCCATTGCTTACTTGACCTCTCTTCTGAGCTAGGACTTTTTATTCCCTTTTTTTTATTCTCTCCTCTCTCTCTCTCTCTCTCTCTCTCTCTCTCTCTCTCTCTCTCTGTGTGTGTGTGTGTGTGTGTGTGTATGACGAGCACACATGTGGAGGTCACTGTCCTGGTAACTCACTCTGTAGACCAGGCCAGCCTTGAACTCAGAGATCCTCCTGCCTCTGCCTCCCGAGTGCTGGGATTAAAGGCCTGCGTCACCACCACCTGGTGACTTTTTCTTTTTTTCTAGACAGGGTCTTGCTACATAGTCCAGGTTGGCTTCCATCTAGAGATCCACCTACCAAAGCCTCCTGAGCCTGGGTATTTAACGTAGGTGCTGCCACACCCTGTTCTGACCTGGCTCTTGCAAGAGTTTCCACATGTTCCTGTGTCTACTCCAATTGAGTTTCCACCTCTGTCAGTCTGTTCTGCCAGAGTCCAATCTTCACACCATCTCCCTGCTTATACAATACGTCCTATTGCTGCACTGGCTGAGCAGCTCTCCCAGGAGCCTTTACTCCAGCTCACACCCTAGACTTCTCTCCCCTTCTTCCTCCAATCTCACTGGCGGCTCTTCTGGCTTTTTCTGTCCTTCCTCTCCAGCTTGACAAGCTGGCCTTGGAGTTTAGTGGATGCTATCTTGGCTCTTGTCCTAAATAGGACTTAGCCAATGACCAAGACAAGCTGGTGTACACAGACCAGACAGGACATAGAAATCTGGGGTTCCCAATTTCCTCAGCCACATTAAACAACTTGGCAAAAGCCACTTATGGTGGCTATTCCCTTGACCATGTCCTCCCTGTTGGTCACTTCTTCTCTGCCCCTTCCTTTGCTGGAATCCTACACTGCCTCAGCTTTGGGGAACCCAAATAAAGAAACTTGCGGAGCCTTCCTCATCCCAGTAAATGGCACCCATACCCCAGGCGGTGTCTTCTCTCTTAAGCCTTAAGGATCATAGTGAGTCCCGGAGATTCTGTCTCTGCAATGTGTAAATCCACCCCCCTCATGTACTTCCCTCCCATCTTCACAGCTATTGTCCTTGTCCAGTGGCCACTGTCCTCTCTAGGCAGATGGTAGCAGGGGCAGGGAAGCAGGGGCTCACCAGTGACCAGGAGCTCAGCCCTGCTGTTGCTGGTGTGATGCAGGTTTTGGCAGGTGCAGATGTAGACACCGGCATCGGAGGGCTGCACGCTAGGGAAGTGAAGCTCAGAGCCTGGGGTGGGGAGACGCTTGTCAGGGCCCAGCTCCACATGGCCCAATAGGACAGGAACAGGGCTGACTCATGGGACAGAAGAGGCTGTAGGTTTGTGACTACCTTGATGCCGCTGCTGAGCACCACTGGATATGGGCCGCCCATCTTCACGGGACCAGTAGAAGTAGTGAGGTGGACTGCCGTTGACCTGGCACCTCAGGGAGTGTGGGCCTCCTTGGGGAACCACGCTCCGAGAGGGATGGATCTGAACCTCCAAGAAGTCTTTTGCTAATGGAGTGGGGGAAGGAAACCATTCAGCCAGGAAGACCCCAATATAAAGCAGTGTCCCTGACACTGGTCTCCCAACCTCAGAACTCTATTCCTCACACTCCCGAGGGTCCATGACCCCCTCTCTCACCACCCTGTGTCATGGTCCTACTTACTCAGTGGCTGGCACCGGCCTCCTTGCACATTGGGGTTACCCTCATAGCCTGGGGCACACCTGTTAGGAGGAACGAGAACCAGCTCTGTAATCCCCAAGGGATCTAGTGTCTAACAGTGAACTTGAGGAGCCAGTTCAGCCAGCTGCCATGGTATATGGAGGAAGCTCAGGGTTCTAGAAGGACTCTGGGGACCACAGAGGTTCCAATACACAGCCTCAGTGAGCTGAGACAGAAGTTGCTAGGGGGCTGGGTAATGGAAGAGGTAAGCCTGCTATTCTCCAGGGAAGCATTCATTCAACAAACAGTTATTAGGGAGTTAGTATGCCCCAGACACCATGCTCGGTGTGGAGGCACAACAGGAGACATGGCAAGGTCTCTGGTCTGAGGATTAATCAGGAAACGGCATAGAAACTTCATGTAAACTGAGAACGAGGGAGGGGCCATGTGGACCCAGGGAGCCCAGAGAGACTACAAAGCATGGCTCCTATGCTGCTTTGGGTTTCCTGCAGCATGCTGCGCACAGCTTCCAGAGAACAGATCACATTTGGAAATGTGTATCTTGTAGCTGTTCTCCTGCCTCTGCCCCCATTCACCTCCTATTTTGGGTTGCAGACTCTGTAGGGCTGACACAGAATCTGTTCTGTTTGCCAGTTTATCCTCAGCACTTCAGGACACAGCACACACACACAGTAGATGCTCAATAAAAATGTGTTGAGCCCTGCATGGCAACCCACACCTGTAATTTAAGAGGCTGAGGTTTCAGGCCAGCCTGGATTACACAGAGTTAGAGGCCAACTTAGGTTTTATACTGAGACCCTGTCTTAAACTTCCTACCCCCTCCAAAAAGTGTTGAATAAGTGCAAGAGGTTGAATCTTGAAGGCTAAGGAGTTAGCCAGGAAAGGGCATGTTTGCGAGGCTAAAAACGTTCTGCAGACGGGCAACAGCGCATGACAATACAAGTACTAAGAATTCAAGAAGGTGGTAGAGGGCTACATGGTGAGGCCTGTGCCTTAACAACAAAACAAAACAAAAAACAATTCAGCTTATCCTGTCTGGTGTGAGGAGTGGGGTGGAATGGGCGTGCCTGAAGCATGGTTAAGTCATAAGCCCCACCTCATCCCAAGGGCAGTATGACTGTGGGAAGTGTTTGGGGCAGGGAGGGACACGATCCTGGTAGAGGCTTTTCTGAGCCACACCCTGTAGGACTCTCACCTGGGAGCCTCTCATTTATACCTTCACTCCCCACTCCTCCTGTGGAACTTACTGTTCACAGTACTGGCCGGTGTAGCCGGGTTCACAGGCCGTGCAGCGGTACCCTCCAGCTCCAAGGCTCTCACAGGTACGGGAGAACCTGGGGCAGGCAGGCAAATGTCAGGCCGCAGGAGCCCACTCCCCATCTCGCTCCCCCATCCTCCAGCAGGAGTTCATTCTTGGATGTGAGCCAGGTACGCACATGTTCTCTGGGTTGGTCAGTGGGCAGGCACATGGCTGGCAGTCTTCAGGCGTCCCGGCCGTGGCATCTCCGTAGTAGCCAGTTGCGCACAGTTCACAAAACTCACCAGCTGTGTTGTGCTGACATCGCTGCGGAGCACAAGGGTGTCAGACAGCAGCTACGAAGCAAAAACTCACCAAGATACCCTCATCCAGAAACCCCAAATCTTGTCTTAAAGAAGAGTCATGGAGGGGGCTGGAGAGATGGCTCAGCGGTTAAGAACACTGGCTGCTCTTTCAGAGGTCCCATATGACAGCTCACACTTGTTTGTAATTCCAGTTTCAGGGGATGAGACACCCACAGAAAAACACCAATGCACATTAAAAAAAAAAAGTAATGGAAGGACATACAGATTTACTTATAGGGATGCCCATCAGTTCCGCAGTGCTGAAAAAAAAAAGTACCTATGGGGACTCAGATAAACCAAAAAGTCCATCCCAGCCTGGGCTTGGGTTTACACCAGTAACATCAGCATGGGGTGGGGAGCGGTGTGTGTGTGTGTGTGTGTGTGTGTGTGTGTGTGTGTGTGTGTAGGTCATCCTTGGCTACAATAGTGAGTCAGCTCTGTCTCAGAAAAAACTGTGTGTGTGTGTGTGTGTGTGTGTGTGTGTGTGTGTGTGGTGTGAGAGAGAGAGAGAGAGAGAGAGAGAGAGAGAGAGAGAGAGAGAGAGAGATGCCTGTGACATTAAAGGAAAACAAAGGTATACATTTGGACACAGAGCCTCGAAGATACATGTTTCACTATAAAAACCCCATGGACTGGAGAGATGGCTCAGTGGTTAAGAACACTGGCTCCTCTTCTAGAGGACTCGGGTTCAATGCCTAGAACCCACATGGTAACCCAGCACGAAGGGATATGATGCCTTTTCGGACTCCATGGGCACCAGGCTCACACAGGGTACACAGACATAGGCAAAACACCCCAAAACATAAAAACCCAGACAATATACAATCTCATCCAAAGACAGCCACATCTGTGGCATTAACATAGTATGTTCCTTGCTTCACACAGAGTCTGGGACTCTGTCAACTATCTGTGCCCTAGCCGTGTACTTGTAAGGACATACACATACCACTCCAGAAAGTGTATGAAAAAGTATTTACTAAAGTTTCATCTCCAGTACCACCAAAGACAAACAACCCCCCTCCAGCCTCTATAATCTGACTCTTCTACAACAACGTCAGTCACTTAGGGGCAAGCAATAACAAACCATAGCTTTCTTTACAAAGAAGAATGGCTTTCCACACTTGTGGTTCCTGACTATCTTCACCTGTTCCATTCATCCAGGTGCTATCTCCCGTGAACTTGCCCCCAGAGGCTTAACTTACAAAGACCCCTCCCATCCCGAGGCCACCCCTGCTTGCATCTCACCGAGCAGGCTCCAGTCTCTGGGTGACACAGGTCAGAGTGGCCGTTGCATTCACACAACTCACAGTGGCCAAGGTACAGTCCGCTTCCAGTGCGCGTGTAGCCTGGGGCGCAGTCCTAGGGGGCAGAGGAAAGTTGGTCTCCATTACCCACAAAGCTCCACCCAGAGCCAGTATACCTAGCCTTCTGTCCCTTCCTCATCTTCCAGAGTCTAGATCCCACTGGCTCTAGGAGAGGGCATCCCAGGCCAGCCTCCATCCACAACCTCTCTGAAGAGGCCCCAGCCTGCTGCTCATCTTCACTTTCATGGCTCCGGAAGGAGATGGAGCTTGTAATACCCAGGCAGTGTTAGCTTAGTGAAACGTAGTATATCCCCAATGGGGACCTGCCTCATTTCAAGATGGGAAAGGTCTCTATGGGAAAATAGTACAGCTAAATGGTGAAGTGAGCTGGGGAGACCCATGGGAGAAGGGGTCCTTGAAGATATTTTTACATTTGTGTGTGTGTGTGTGTGTGTGTGTGTGTGTGTGTGTGCCACAGTTCATATATGGAGGTCAGAAGACAACTTATAAGAGTCAGCTCTCTCCTTCCATCGTGTGGGTCCTGAGGAATGAACCGAGGTCCAGGCTTTGTTGTAAGTGCCTTTACCACCTAAGCCATCTTGCCAACCTTTATTACTGGGGTTGCATGCACCAATTAGTAATCCTGCTCGGCCAGGTGATACACATCTGTAATCCCAGCACTCTTGGAGTGGGGGCAGGAAGATAGTGATGTTCAAGGCCAGCTTCTGATTACACACACACACACACACACACACACACACACACACACAGAGCTCAAAGCCATTCTAAGCTGCATGAGCTCCTGCCTTGAGAATTCGAACCAAACCAAAACCAAAATCAAACAAGCACAGCGATAGAGTTAGCACAAGGCATCACAGATGTTGGTGCAAAGTGGAGATGAAGGATCACAGGTCTGAAGGGCAGTCCTCTCCCCCGCCCCTTCTGAGAAAGCTGCCAAGGCCTCCTCCGCACATTCCATGGCCAGTTTGTGGACCTCTTAGGGCTGGGCTGCAACAGTGTGCACAAGCACGTCCCAAGAGCTCCTCTTTCAGATGAGTCAAACATGGTATCTTTGCAGAGAACGAAATTCTACACTGGGATTTGAGAAGTCTGTGACCCCAGAAAAGGCACACAGATGTATGTATGTATATGTAGTATAAATATATAAATACATAAATTTATATATAAATACATTATATTCATTTATTCACATATCATTTTTATTTATTTATATATTATAAATAAATATAAGTGTATATATAAATAAATAAATAAATATATTTTTCAAGATTTATTTATTTAGTATACAGTGTTCTGTCTGCATGTATTCCTGCAGGCCAGAAGAGGGCACCAGATCCCATTATAGATGGTTGTGAGCCACCATGTGGTTGCTGGGAATTGAACTCAAGACTTCTGGAACAGCAGTCAGTGCTCTTAACCTCTGAGCCATCTCTCCAGCCCGGCACACAGATATTAAAGTGCAGAGATACGAACTTGCTATAGCTGTACCCATTCCTGACCTCTGCCATCTCATTAGATATTAAGTGGGTCAATGTCACGTGTAGGGTAAATGCCTGTCTACCTGGAGCTCAAAGCTGGGGCCAGATCCAGCAGAGGCTCTTAGGAGCTTCAAAGAGACAGCCCTCTGTCCCACTCCACAGCCCCTCCACACGGTACACCAGGCCTTGACCTCTTTCTCTGCACCATCCATTTTGTCTACATCCAACAGACACATGGTCCCTGCCTGGCGCTGATTATGGGATGCCTATAGCAGAGTGACTTCCCCATCCCAGGGCCCTGTTCTAGGCCGGCCATAGTGACCCTACTGCAGGTCCAGTCCCATGTGCTCCTCCTTCCAAGCTGGTCATCCCTTAAGCCTACAGAGTCATCCACTCCATGCTGTGTACCTGAGGCATGTCCTTGCCCAGCTCTGAGAGTCTCCTGTGTTTGGGTCTCTCCAGTTGAAAGTGTGCCATTCTTTAGGCAGTGCTGTCTGGTGGTTAGGATATCAGATCTAGGTTCAGGTTAGTTCTCCACACGTTGGGTGTATGCCCTTGGGTAAGGCACCCATCCCTTGGACGTTTGCTTTTGTCAGGTAAAGGAATGGCTTGGATATGTGATTGCAGCAATGTAAGAGCAGAAGGTACCTAACGCAGAGAGCAGTCATGGACTACAGCAATGGTTACTGACCTTGCAACGCAGAGAGCAGTCATGGACTACAGCAATGGTTACTGACCTTGCACCTTGCACATACCACAGCACTGAAGCAAATGCAGTCAGGCCAGCCACACACTCACCTGGCAGGACAACCCGACATAGCCTGGGGGGCAGCGGCATTCTTCTACCTCGAGGGCTCGGGGCCCTCCAGAAGGCCCAGGCTGGGCCACTTCTAGGCTCACGGCGCTGATACTGGCTGCCCGTGGCACTGAGGAGAAGGTGGCCCGAATCAGAAGTTCATCCAGATCCGCCAGGGCCATGAGCAAATGCTCACGGGTAGCAGGCTGTCCATCTGGCCGCCGCCAGAACTCCTGGGGGACGGGGGGATGACAGTAAGTGTCAGTGGAAGCTCTGGGCTTGGTTTGCTGAACTTGTAGCCCTGCACATACTCTGCCAAGGGGAGGATGGGCGATCAAATCCAAGTGCCACCTACCTCTCGGAAGATGATCTCGTAACTCCTTCTCTCTGGGCCCTGTGGTGCTGGCTGGGAAGCCACCAGCATGATGTTATTGCCCTGCACAAAGGTTAGGAAGGGCATTTAGAGTTATTGGAGGTATATCCACCGACCCCAGGTTCTCCAACCATGTACCTCCTGTCTGTCCACACCCCCAAGCTCATGTGCCTGCCTGGTGTTCCCATGCCTGGCAGCCAGCCTAAGGCAGCCTAAGGAGCAACCAGCCAGGTAGGGACCAAGGGCCCACATTTGGCTAGCTGGTGTGGCTTCCACATGGCTTGCATCCTCTGCCTGACCACTGTGGATTCTACTGAGCTCACCGTGATCTGGATATCGGGGTCTGAGAGTGGGCTGCCCTGTGGCCCTGATGTGTAGGAGAGGGTGTATCGTAGCTTCCCGCCATAGGCCGCCACCTGGGAAGAGACAAGATCACACAGGTCAGAGACAGAGCCTCTTGGCTCCTGTGTGTTGCACACTAACCTCAGAAGGCCAGGACTTGTAGCACAGAAAACTGGGCAACAGGCCCATTCTATCATTTCCTCCCTCGTCTCACTCATGGGAGGACTTCTTACTCATTCTCCATTGCCTGGCAGTCACAGTCAACACGTCCCTTTTTATGTGTAGACATTTCCCATAAAATGACAAGAGTAACAATAGTGACTCTCATGGGGAGACTGCCAAGATCAGAAGTTTTAGCCCAGGGCATGGATCTGCACGGGCTCTGGGGCCTCATCTCCTGGACTCCTGGCTTTGGGTCCACCCAGACTTCCTTCCTTCTGTAAACTACATCCTTGTTCCTTCTCTCCTCTCTGTCTTTTAAAGTATTTACTTTATGTGTGTGTGCACGCCTGAATGTATGTACGAGAGTACAACGAGCCCAGAGTGTACCTGTGTAGTCAGAAGAGGCTTTGGATCCCTGATACAGGGGATCCCCTGACTTTAAAGTTATAGAGGGTTGTAAACCACCATGTGGGTGGGTGCTGGGAATTGAACCTGGGTCCTCTGAAAGAACAGTCAGTGCTCTTAACTGCTGAGCCATCTCTTCAGCCCCTTCCTTGTTGTCTTTTAAAAAAAACAAGCTTCCTGTATACTCAGGTCCCTCCGACCTGCAGAAGGGAGCAAGCCAGGCCTGCCAATCAACACGGTTCTGAATTAGGAAGAGAGATGGGATAAGGTCAGTTCTAGTGTGACTAGATACAATGGGGCCATGTGCATTTCTCTCCAACTGGGGAATGTCTGGTGTATGGCACTCCTCTTTCTTTTGGGACAGAGAAATTCCTATCTCCCATGTGACCAGAAGCTACAAAATGACACTCACTGAGAAAAAGCCCTAATGAGCACTTGGACCCGGCCATCATCCTTGGACCCTATGGTTGAATGAGTCATTCTGTTTGTTGTTTGTTTTTTATTGTGGGCAAGCCAACTGGACTTGTGTCTTTGCAGACATGACTAAAAGGCTAAGGCTAGTTGCAAAGGGCTTTCATCCTGGCAGCCGAGGTTCCAGCTCTACCCATTGGCCTTTCCTCCCTCTCCTCTATCACCAGGGCAGACTGGCTGAAAACTACCCAGCATGGGTGTCCCTCTGGTTCAAGTGTGTTCATTCAGTGAGTGAACGTTTATTAAACAAAAGCTGATGACATGCCAGGCCCTGGGTGACACAGGCCCCAGGGCTATTCTCTACCAACTTAGGGTGTGGTAAGGAACCAGATTACAACAGAAATAACTGGTTTCCTGTTTGTTTTGGATGCCAATGAGTTCACAGTCTCATCTGGAACCAGCTTTCTAGGAAGTGGAAGGCGTGTGCCACACAGGGCTGTAAGTCAAGGACTACAAGGGGAAAGCCTGGGCTCAGACTCCAGCTCTGCTGTCTTATAACTGTGGGCAAGTCACTTAGTCTGAGCCCAGTTTCCTCATCAGCAAATAGGTGTAAAAACAACACTTTAAAGGACACCTCGAGGATTATGTAACTCAGGACACATACAGTGAGTGACACATTCATCTCAATGTAGAGAACACACTTGAAGGCCGATAGCTATCCAGGGCTTCTGATGCCAACCCAGACTCTGGTAGACTGTCCTCACCTCACATCCCCTGGACCTGCCTGGTCTAGCCTGGCCTCTGAGTGCAGTATTACATGTGTTACTCATAACTTGTCCCCCTCCCCCGATGCTGGAGACCGGACCTGAGCTTTAAGAGCTCTACCACTGAGTCAAAGCCTCAACCCCTTGGTACACACACTCTGAAGAGGCTCTCTGTGTCTCCTGGGGGCAAGGAGGCAAGGTGGAAGCAGTAACAACATGAATGCTAATGCCAGGGTAATAGTAACAACATTCAGGGCTGGAGAGATAGCTCAGTTAGTAAAGTGCTTATCGTGCGAGCATGGGGACCTTATAACACTGGTGAGACAGAGAGAGGCTGATCCCTAGGACTCCATGGCCAGCCAGCCTGCTAGGTGAACTCCAGACCAATGAGAGACCCTGTCTCAAAAAACAAGGTGTGTGGTACTTTCTGAGCAATGACACCTAAAGTTGTCTTCGAGCCTCCATAGGCTCATGTGCACATGTAAGTACACACACACACACTCTCTCTCTCTCTCTCTCTCTCTCTCTCTCTCTCTCTCAGAAAGACAGCCACATTCCGAATGCAGGACTAGTACATGAGAACAGAGGGGAGTTCTGGGAGGTCAGTGTGCCTCTGCAGTGGCAACACAGCATACAGTAAGTGCCTAATGAGTGCACACTAGATACAGGGAGAGAGGGCTGTTCTGCCTCCTACCCTCTGATAGCTAAGAATCCTCTGATGGCCAATGGCCCTTCCATTTCCTGGTTACCTTGTTCCCCAGGAAGGCTCGGGGCAGCTGCCAGTAATAGAGACTTCCGGGCAGCAGAGAGAAGCCCTCGTAGGAGAGGGAGAACTAGTGGAGAAGAGCAGAAGGTAAGAATGGGACACAGGCACCCCAGCAGGGACCCAGGACCCACCCCAACTACACAGCACAGGCCCACCATGCTCTCTGGGCAACCTGCTTCCTGCTCTGGGCCCAGGTCCTCCAGCTGTTCTTTCAAGCCTGTTCTTGGTCTGTTTTGTCTCCCAAGCACTGTGTCTTTCTGGTGGACCCCAAAATCAATGGGGTACACTGTAAACAGTTAAAAAAAAATTTTTTTTTTTGGTTTTTCGAGACAGGGTTTCTCTGTGTAGCTTTGGAGCCTATCCTGGCACTCGCTCTGTAGACCAGGCTGGCCTGGAACTCACAGAGCCCTGCCTGCCTCTGCCTCCCGAGTGCTGGGATTAAAGGCATGCGCCACCAACGCCCAGCCAGTTAAAAATTTAATGGCTCTTTTTTACATATATTTAAAAATGTAGATGGATCTGAATATGTTAGACACGCCTTTAATCCTAGCATTTGCAGGCCGAAGCTGGTGGGCCTCTGTGAGTTTGAGGACAGCCTGGTCGATACAGTGAGCTTTAGCATAGTCAAGGCTATATAGTGAGATCCTACATTTTATTTTATTTGAGATAGTGTTTTTCTGATAGTGAACCTCTGACTATACTGGAATTTTCTCTGTAGACCAGGCTGGCCTGGAGCTCACAGAGATCCTCCTGCCTCTGCCTGCCAAATGCTGAGATTAAAGGTGTGCACTACCACTGCCTGGCATGTGAGAGCCTATCATGAAAGAGAGAGAGAGAGAGAGAGAGAGAGAGAGAGAGAGAGAGAAAGAGAGAAAGAAAGGAAAAATGTAGTCAGAAAAAAAAAAGTAGCCAGAGCGCTGTGGATATAGCTTAGTTGGTAGTGTTCACCTAACTTGTGTGAAGCCCTGGATTCCATCCTAAATATGGGATATCACATTCATTATCCCAGGACTCAGAAAGCACAGGCAGGAAAATCAGGAGTTCAAGGCCATCCTTGGCTCGAAAGTGGCCAGCCTGGGCTACAGGGGACTGTCTCAAAAAAGGAAAAAGTAGTTGGATATGGTACTTTATGCCTTTAATTTCAATACTTGGGAAGCAGAGACAAGAGGATGGACACAAGTTCAAGGCCGACTTGGTCCACATCAGGAGACCTTGTTTCAAAACAAACAAACAAACAAAAAGTAGCAGGCAGACATGGTTATTATCCCAGCACTTGAGAAGCTAAGACAAGGATTCTGGGCTTGATGTCAGTCCAGGGCCATCATGAGACTCCACCTCAAAACACAAGCCTGACTGACTCGATATCTGGTGGAGCTAACGTGACGTCTGAAGTCAATGATGATCCAGACAGTCTCAAGAAATAGCAACTGGTTTGGAAATGACCAGAGTCTAGGAAGCATGGTGAGCCGGTTCCTCAGTGAGTGACTTGGTACATACCTGAGAGCCTGCTGAGGAAGACAGAGAAGTGGAGGCAGAGGAAGAGGAGGAGGAGGAAGAGGAAGAGGAAGAGGAAGCGGAGGGAGGACCTGCTCGTAGAGCAGCGGCTAACTGGGGGTGGGGGTGCAGCCCACGAGGAGGGGGTTGAGGGTGGGCAGCAAAACTGGCAAGGAGCTGCCAGATCTCAGCATCGACCCGCCTCTGAGCTTCATCCACCTAGGGGGACGGAAGGATAGACGACAGGAACAGATGGACAGAAAGACACCCATGAGGCTCTGCCTTTCCCCAGGCTGTACCAGCCCCATCCAATTCCCTGATGTGGGCCACCCACGTGCCTGTGCTGATGTCCACCCCCTATTCCCACGTGTCCTTTGCCTTCTCACTCCTAGGACTCAGGCAGAACATCTCAGGATGAGTATTTGCATGTGGGCTAGGTCTGCTGGGGGAGGAACCTGCTCATGGTGTTCCCCAAGGGAAGGACAGAAAGTTCTGTGCAGTCAGGGCAGACAGCCGTGTGTGTGTGTGTGTGTGTGTGTGTGTGTGTGTGTGTGTGTGTGTGTGTGTGTGGGTGTGTGGGTGGGCGGGCGCGCGCGCGTGTGGGGACGTGTGTGTGCGCGCGCGCGCGCGCGCATGGGGGCTTAGGAGGTGCTGCCAACAGCACTACAGAAGGCATTCGGGGGTGTTTGTAGAATACTGTCATTTGCTGTCCTTTTTAAGGACAGGCAGGGTGGGCAGAGGGGGCCCAGGAAAGCCTGGGTCTTGGTTCAAGGTTTGGTCCCTAGACCCCCCGACACAGCCTGCCCCTGCCCTAGGTACCTGTGATGCCCGCTGTGCCCGGCCCCTGCCCTCTGGGTCCCCAAGGATCCTCCCAGTTGTCACAGCTGCCCGCCACTGTTCCTCTGAGAGGGATGTGCGGTTCTGATGGGGTGGAAGTCACAGGCCAGCTCAGCCCTCACAGGGCTCAGACCTATAGCCATGGGTAGCCCTTTCCCCATACATGGTACCAGCAAGGAAGGCCACAGTGACTGGTTAGGGAGGCATGCCCTATTCCTGGGCTGGCACATAGGGTTACTCCAGGCTACTAGAAGGGCACACGTGAAGAGGTTAATGGTGGTTGCTGGCAAATGCATGGGGAAACAAGGGAGTCAGGCACAGTCACATGGATTAAGATCAAGTTAGTTTTCCTGTTCACAGACCCCCAACTATTGTGACACCAAAAACACATCACATGGCTGATGGGGCACAGCACAGAACACGACCCTCCAAACTCTCCTAGCAGCACTACAGGCTCAGGAAGAACGTCCATGAGTACAGGATATCCCCCATGCAGAGCTGAGGGTACCCCCATTTCACACCACTCAACAAAGGCATACCTGGTGAGCCCGGCGTAGCCGTGCAAAGTGAGCCTCCCTCTGTGGGGCAGCAAGAAGCACCAGGGGAGGAGACAGAGAAAGGTCTGAGGGAGGCCAGGAGAGAAGGAACCAAGGGGAAGAATGCACCGGAAGGCAGCCAGGTTGGACAGAGGTTGAGCCTCTTTCTCTCCAAGGAGCAGAGCCTGGAAGGCCTAAAAGCCCTACTGCTGAGTGGACTATACTGGCCTCATCTGGTGGGAGACTTAGATACTAAGTAAGTCCCACTTGTCCTGGTACCATGGCCATGGCTGAGGACCACATGTGGCTGCTCTGGAGTTCTCCCTTTATTTATTGTTTTTATTTTTGTGCATTGGTGTTTTGCCTGCATGCATGTCTATGTGAAGTTGTCAGATCCCCTGGAACTGGAGTTACAGACAATTGTGAGCTCCCATGTAGGTGTTGGGAATTGAACCTGGGCCCTCTGGGAGAGCACCAGTGCTTTTAATCACTGAGCCATCTCTCCAGCCACCCTGGAGTTCACCTCTTAGACGCTGCCCTTCATAAGACCATCCTTGATGATGCTGCCTTCCTGGCAGATTTCACTTCAAAGTCAAAATGATGGCTCTCTTTTGCCTAGCTCAGCTTTTTAAGGGCAGGTCTGACCTACAAATGCTGCTACTAGTTGTAGGACTCAGGAAAAGTTCTTGAACTCTGGCTTTACTTTCCTCTGCTAGGAAATGGCAGTGAAGCTAGCTGGTTCATGCAATCATGATTTAAGATGCCTGCATAAGTGAGTGTGTAGTCAGAGCTCAATAGAAATGACCTGAGAATCACCATGCCAGCACCCAGTACTCAGCCTGCAACACCCAGCACAGATGAGCACCCAGGAGATTCACACTGAAACTGTCTCACCATGCATGCGTTTCGGCCTGGCCTGAAAGTTCAGTCATTACCACTTGAGTGCTCAGTATGTGTCAGGGACAATCCTCCCAACCACCCTGGGTTGGGGAGGTCAGGTGTCCAGCTAGAGGACAGCTCAGCTGAGATGTAATCTGAGGTCACTGGACCCCAAAGACCACACACTACATGACATGGCAGCCATGACTCCATGTTGACTCCATGTTCAGCAAGGACCTGGCTCAGAGCTGGCACTTGGAGAGGGGCCGCAGGCCTCGCTTATATCTTACCTTGTCTCCCTGGTATGTTTCTGGAAGCTGCCAGTAGAAAGACTCTTGGCCAAGGTGGGCAAAGTTGCCAAAAGAGAGCTGGGACCCACCAGACACTGATTCCACGGTGAAGCCTCCTGTCAGTTGGCTGTTGCGCTGTGGGTTCACCAGGGCAAAGCCTTGGAAATCCCCAGGAGCAAATTGGGTGGAGATCTGGCAGCAGGAGAAAAACAGGGGTCAGCTAGGTGACGGATCACGCACACCAGGATGGTCAGGGCACAGAAGGGCAGGATAGGACATGGGGCTTGCTGAGACCAGGGCTGAGCAAGACATGATGGAGGGGGTGGATATCGGGTTAGATGAATGGGTATGCTCAGAGATGAGATGAGCAACAGCAGAGGCCCAGTTCTTGAGACAAGAGTCAGTTCACTGGACTCAGTGCCAAGGTGAGCAGCAATGGAGGCCTGAAGATGGGTACCACCTGGGAGGCTGGCACCCATCTGGGACAATGCTCCCGATCTTCAGGGTGGCAGACTGGCTCTGACCTGGTGGCGTGAGTAAGAGGAGCTGGCACACTGCTGGGTGACACCCATGCAAAAACAGGGAAGGCAGCCTTCTGGGTTGCTGGCACTCAGGTAGAAGTGGTGGGGTCGGCAGTGGCTGCAGGTAAGGCCTTCCACCTGGGCCTGGGGAGGATGGAAAAAAAGATGTGAAGGGACTCAGGGGTGTCTGCTGGACCCCAGGAGCTGTTGTGAGCAGCCCTGCCTACCCACCCCATGACCAGGCCTGAGGATCCCCTCGCGCACCATCTGACTTCTATTCGGCCCCAGTGCTGGACTGAGATAGACCTCATGGAAGGCAGGACTTTGAACTGACCTTGCATTGACACTGACCAGAGGCATCACACTGGCTGCTGACACTGCCATGAGGGTCACAGCCACAGCCTAGATCCTCTGGCCCCTGACCATCTCCTGAAGAGTAAAGAAGTCATAGATGACATCCTCAAACCCTACACCAAACACAGGCTCCCTAAGCCTGTCACTCAGCACCAAGAGGACTGCTACCTGCTTCTGAGCATGTTGGAGGTGCCTCTCCCCTATCCCATGTGACAGACAGAGAAGCCAAGAATCAGAAAGGTAAAGCCACCTCTCCCAGGTCCCAGGGAAACAAAGGATTTGTCCTAGCTCCCCCTGGACCACTGCCACCACCATCACTCAACTCCCGCCACCAAGCCCTCTGAATTCTGCAACTCTACTCACTGTGGCAGGGCTGTCCTTGACTGGGATTACCATAGTAACCTGGGGCACACCTACAGAGAGAGAGAGAGAAAGTGGTGAAGAGCTAAGGTCCAAGGAGAATCGTGGCTTAGACTCATGACCCCCACTGTAAGAGGAAAAACATCAGTCTTGTGCATCCATTTCCAAAGCATGGGGGAGTCCGAAGCAAGGGTGGGGCCAAGACCACAGCCAATGAGTTGATTCCATCAGGCCCTGACTCAAAAGGTCAAACTCAAGAGGCCTAATGTTCAGCCTCATGGTGTGAACCTAGAAGCACCTCCAGGGCATGGAGGTAGGAGGAACAGTAGTTGAAGGCTATACACAGCTGCATAATGAGTTTGTAGCTAGATTAAACGACATGAAACTCTGTATCAAAATAACCAAACAGCAAAGGGTCTAGTGGGAGGACTCTGGCCTGGGTAAGACAAGGGAGGGCTGGAAGGTGGGCTGCAGGTCAATGCCAGGCTGCAGTGTGAGGCTTCCAGAGAGGAAAGCTAATGTCCTTTGACAGCCTGTGTGATGAAGAGAAGTTGCAGGCTCCTTGTGAACAGGAGGCCTGGGACTCACTGAGGACCCTCAGGTATATCCTCCTGGGCCCCAGGCGCACCCCACCACCCGTCTCACCTCTCACAATGACGCCCGCTGTGGCCTGCTGAACATGAGTCACAGGTGGGGTGGCCATCTGTGTCCAGGAAGCAAGTATGGGCAGCCCTGAGAGAGTGGGAAAGTCCTGTCAGTAAGACAGTGACTGCTCCTGCTGGGCTCGCTCACGGGGAGACGGCGAAGTCTATGCCAATACATCCTTTCCCACCACCTCACTCAGCTCTACCCAGGGGCTAAGGTGGGTACGTTGTCCCCATTTAGGAAACCGGGGCTCTGAAAGTGAGCGTACTTTCCCCCAGTGACACTGAGAAGTGGCCAACCAGGATTTACCTATAGCCTCTCCCCAGTGCTGGGCAAGAGGGGGGATAAGAGGGGTGGTAGGCATTTCAGGAAGAGTGGGGTCCAGACTCACTGGCCAGCAGCAGGGGCTCCATAGCATGGGCAGGGTTGGCAGTCCTGTGGTGTGCCCCGCTGGGCATCCCCATAGAACCCTGGCTGACACTGCTCACAGTGAGCACCTTCTGTGTGGTGCTGGCAGCTCTGCAGGGACAGAGGACAGGTTGAGGCTAGCCCCTAGAAACCCCAACCTGCCTTCCAACCAAGGATGGAGAGTGAAAGGGCAGGACTCACCTGGCAAACACCAGTCTCAGGCTCACAGGCCTCTGAGTGGCCATGGCAGTTGCAGCGTTCGCAGGTACCCAGGTAGAGTCCACTGGGCATGCGTGTGTAGCCTGTGTCACAGTCCTGGGAACAGAAAGATGGTGGGGGGCTGAGCATACGGGGAGAGACAAAGGAGGCCAGGACAGCAAACACTGTGAAGGAAGCTGGGTGGGTAGGTAGGGGACCCAGGCTCACCTGGCAGGAAGGGCCACGGTACCCAGGTGGACAGGTACATTGCTCTACTTCCAACGCTGAGTCCTGGCCAGTGTAATCTGGCACAGCTATGTCCATGCTGATGCCAGAGACCCTGGATGTGATAAGACTCACGGTGAAGGACTCTCACTGTGCACTGGTAATACCTAGAATCCCATGCTCCATCTCCATGTGGCCTGTGTTCTCCAGCAGTCTCTTGGGCTGCGGTGAAGAGCTCACATCTGCTGAGCTACCTCCAAAGGGCTACCATCCTCTACCCCTCCTCACCCAGACATGCTACTCTACCCAGGCGACTCAGAAGACACTGGTCCCCAGCTTCTCAGGATTCTCTGAGGGAAAGCAGCAGTATGCTTTGCATTCTACAGGCAGAGTGTGAGTGGCTACACTACGTTTCTGCTTAGTCTGGAGACCCCTCTGCCCTGCCCTGGCCCCAGCTACCTGCTCTCAGCCGGTTGCTGGGTGTAGGATGCTTGGATGAGGAGGGTATCGATGCCTGCCAGGGCCATCAGCAGATGCTCCCTTGTGGCTGGCTGCCCGTCAGGCCGCTGCCACGCTTGCTGTCAAGAAAACAACATACGATCCATTCCTGCCACCTTGGGTGCCGAGGCCCCAGAAGAGAGGAACAATAAGGGACGGGAAGGGGCTCACCTCTCGGAAGGGCACTATGAAGTTACTGGGCTGGCCAGGGCTGGGCTCCCTTGAGGCGTGGTGCTCCAACACGATGCCATTGCCCTGCAGCACCACCAGTGGCTGTCTGTGCAGGGGTGCAGAACTGGGCCGTGGCCGCTGGGTTATAGTGAAGCGCAGCTCTCCTCCGTAGGAAGTCACCTAGCATGGGGTGGACAGGCGTTCAGCGGGAGACTTGAGTCAGGCCATGTTAACTGCTATTCTCTCAACGACCTGCTTGTCTTGCTCCTCTGTTCCCACCCACCTTGTCTCCTCGGAAGCTGGCAGGAAGGCTCCAGAAGTAGGGTCCAGACAGGAGGTTGTGGAAGGAGGAGAACAAGAGCTCCCCAGGTGCAGGGGACGAGACCCCCTCACTGGTGGTGTGGGTACCTGCCACATTTGTCAGGCTGAACTGAGAGGGCTGTTCAGAGGCCCCGAGCACCTGGAAACGGAGAAGGTTGGGATAGGGCAGTTGTAGCGGTGGTGGGACCCACCCTTTGTCCCCCCCCAGGCCCCAAGCATGGCTGTCCCATCCTGCGGCCGCCCTCTTGTGGGTACCTGGGCTCGGCTCCAGGAGGAGCTGCTGCACTGCCGACTGACCCCCATGCAGAAGCACTTGAGGCAGCCGTCAGGGTTCTGCTTGCTCAGGTGGAAAGAGCCTTCCGAGCACTCGTTACATAAGCGCCCCACCACATTGTTCTGTGGACACAGAGTTGGGAGCTTCAGGATGGCCCATAGGAGGGGCTACCTGAACACACCCACAGTCTAGATGGGGCCCCAGAGCACCATGGAAAACACGTATGTGTGAAGCATCACCATCAGCAGATCATGGCTGCTTACAGAAACCGCTCTTCCCTTTCTCACTGGCTGCTAAGAGGCTCACAAACAAGTTAGGATTTGAGACAAAGCAAGCTGATTGAATGGATTGCCACTGTAACTTAGGATGGAGAATCTCATGCTCTCGCTGCTGCCTCTGCAGCCACCTCACCCAACTCCCATTAGGGCTTTCAGGGGAAGGCGGATATTTCTTCCATCCTTAAAATAGCGAGGCTTGAGACATGCATCAGCACACAGGGTCCACTCGGCGTGCTTGTCTACCCTTCGTTACAAGATCGGGGGTGCCTGACTGCGAAACCCACCCAGCTGTTTCCCCCACTGACCTCTGATTCTCCTACAATTGATGTGATATCAACATGAAACCTGACAGAGTGACACAGGTGAGGGCCGGAATGTATGCAATAGCTGCCAAGGGCATGTCAGGAAATTGAACTTGGGGTGGCTGAGGGAAGGCCAGGACTTCCTCATGGTATAGAAGACCAGGCAGCCAGGCCTGTGGGCTGCAGGCAAGGTCAGCGTCCACTTGCCAAGGTACTAGAGAGGGTAGGATCTCTTTCCTCCCTTGGCCACAGTAAGGCTGGGTCCGAGGTCTTGGAGACAGCAGACAGTACACGCACCTTACAGCGGCAGGCCCCTCCGGTGGCACTCAGGCTACCTCGCTCATCACAGCGCACAAGTTCCTGGGCTGGAGACAGAAGGAAAGCACCGGCAGATTGGGTGAGAATGGGTGGCTCTCCAGGGATTCTGGGTATGGGCTGGAAACGGGGAGTGATTTCCAATTCAACAGGTTATGAGAGGAGGTGGTCACGATACTCACTGGTGGGCCTACACTTCCCGCCTGGCTGGATGGGGTTGCCTTCATATCCAGGGGCACAGCTGGGGGGAGACAACACTGTCACACCCCGCCAGGACATCCTGTTTCCCACCTGCCAGCCCCGTCAGCTCCTCTTTACCTTTCACAGCGACGGCCGGTATAGCCTGGGGCACAGGCATCACAGGTGGCTTGGCCGTCTGTGTCCAGGAAGCAAGTGTCTGAGAATCTGTGGAGATCAAATGGGCAGGATAGAAGGGTAAAACTGGGTGCCAGGCCTGACATGCTCACCCCAGGAAATTACTTCTGTCCTCACAGACAGACGGAGAGGCGTGATGCCATCTCCTGGCCCCTGTACTTGCTCTGTGGCCTCACAGCAATTGTAGAAAGGGAGATGCGGCCCACTGTACAGAAAGGGAAAATGAGGCCCACAAGAGATCAAAGAGCATGGGACTACTCAGTGAAGAGGTCAGGACTGGAATCCACGTGGGTACCCAGTTTCTCTGGCAGAGAATGCCCCTACTTGCCACACTACCATATCCTGAGCGGGTTCTGACCTTCGGGAGGCGTCGATGTATGGGCAGGGGCAGGGCCGGCAGGCTGTGGCTGTGGCTTTTGTGGCATCCCCAAAGAAGCCAGCTTTGCACTTGTTACACTGAGGTCCTTCAGTGTTGTGTTGGCAGTTCTAGGACAGGAGAGGGTAGGCTCAGGGCCTGCTGAGCAGAACTGGGCCAGACAGGCTCTAGAATGTTCCACAGCTTTGTAGATAGTAGCATCAAGGTAGTCCAGCATGGAAGCCAATCCCATAGATGGTTCCAAGCACCTCTTGATATGGAGCCAGACCTGTCACCCTCTTCCACAGTACACCCAGGGCTAGTTCTGCCCTAGAGTTCATTCTGTCACCCCTACAGCTGCTGGGGCATCTGATGACAGTACCCTGTCTGTGCCTTCTCTTTGATCAGCTCCACAATCCCAGTCCTCATCACTATTGCCAAGAGATGAGGTGTAATGTCTAGGCCATGCTTCCTCCAGCCCTCGCCAAGGGAGAGAAGCTTTCAGCTCCCTTGTCTAGCCACAGTATCTCTTGTTAACATATCCAGAGGTCATGGTAGTTCACCTGGAGCCATTCAAGCCATTCTAGAGGTCATGCAATGCTCTTGGATGCAGGGGAGACCCACACCTATCCAATGTCCAAATGGCAGTTTGCACTACTCACCAGGCAGTGGCCATAGACAGGGTCACAGGAGCTGGCATGGCCATTGCAATTGCAGCCAGAGCAAGTGCCCAGGTAGGGCCCTCCGGGCACCCGGGTGAAGTGGGCATCACAGCTTTCACAGGACAAACCAGAATAGCCAATGGGGCATCTGTGGGGATAGGGTCAAGAGAATGGCTGCAGGAACTACATTCTCTGATGTTTCACTTCTACCCCAGATAGTATCCCCAGGATCCACAGCCCCACAGGGGGCAGGCACCTGCACTCCTCCACACTGTGAGCACGGCCATGGCTGGTGGTATGGGTGACAGTGGTGTCCATGACGATGTCACTCAGCCCCACACTGGCCATCTTGGTATTGTACACTGTCTGCAGCAGTATACCCTCCAGGCTGGCCAGCGCCTGCAGCATCTCAGCCCGCTGCACAGGCCGGCCAGACTCATGGACCCAGTGTTCCTGGAGGGGACAAGGTTGTTTTGTCTATCAGTGCCTGCGTGGCGTGCATCACTCCACCCTGGCCAATCCTCCCTCCTAGACTGACCCCTGGGACTCAGGTACCACCAACCTCAGAGAGCTGGACCTGGCGCTGGTTCAGAGTTCCAGGTTGGGTAGGTGTGTGGCCTCGAGAATGGAGGCGGTACCCTGCGCCCACAAGGATCACATCTGGTTTCTGCACTGGTTCCAGCATGCCTCGAGCCAGATCATAGCGCACTTTGTAGCGCAGGTAGCCACCATAGGAGTCCACCTGGTCAGGATAGGTTAGATCAGGGTTGGGCAGCCATCCTTCCCTACTCTGCCCATCTGAGGCATACAGAGTGCCTGGCATGGAAGGCTCATAGAGAACTGGGCATGGGGAGCCCAGCCCATGGCAGACAGTTTGTAATGCTGTACCCATGGAGGTCAGTGTGGAGCACTCTAGCCAGCCCAGAGTAGGCAGTCAGAGAAGAACCCAAAGTGGGTTGGGAGAGCAGCCAGCAGAGATCTTGCCTTGTCCCCAGAGATACAGCTGCCTTGCTTCAGAGTGAGCAGAGACTAAGCAGGCCCTGCCCTTACCTTGTTCCCCAGAAACTGCTTGGGTAGGGCCCAGAAAGCGTCATGGACAAGGAAACGGCGTGACAGGTCAACCAGCTGGAACTCCTGTAGGGCTGGATCAATCTGCAGCTGGGTGGAGGAGAGGGGTGGCACACCAGGCTGCGATGGCATGGTCACATTCACACCTGCAAGGACAAAGGCAGGGTGAGGTTTGCAGCCCATGATTAGTGGAGAACAGCCACCCTGAGAGCTGGGATCCAGGAAGGGACAATTGAGAGAAAGCAGAGGCATCTGTCTGGAATTTAGGAAGTAGCCAAGCAGAACTGGGCATGGCACACACCTGTAATCCCAGCACTCCTGGAGGATCACGAGTTCAAGCTGGAGGCCAGCCTGGGCTACATAAGACCCTGTCTTAATCCACCCACTCCCACCCCCAAAAGAAGCATCAGTTCTTTCTTTTCTCTTTGTAGTCATTGTACCTCCTGCAGTTTTGGTGCATGCTCTAGGGAGGGCCATCACTGCAGAGTGACAGCTGGGAGCCACAATCAAGGAAAGGGCAAGAGAATCACTACAGCAGGACTTCTCAGAGTCTTTGTACCATCAGGCTGGGAACAGCCCACTGAGGTTAGCAGAGAACTATGTAGGGCTGAAGAAGAGAAACCCAAGCCCTGGTTCCACCATGTTCCTGGGGTCTGACCCTGGACAAAGGGCTCTGTTCCCTTATCTATAAAACAATGATCCTGGTGGCCCAACTCATGGAGTTATGAAGACAAAATGCACAAGTTGGCAGAAAGGTTAAAATTGAGGGTAACATGAAGGAAGCACTCAAAATAGGGCTCACTCTTACTGTTACGAGGGGTCACTGATTCAACCCCAAATGTGCACTCATTCATTCACTCACTCATTCATTCATTCACTCACTCATTCATTCACTCATTCACTCACTCACTCACTACTCATTCACTCACTCATTCATTTACTCATTCACTCACTCATTCATTCATTCACTCATTCACTCACTCACTCACTCATTAACTCACTCACTCACTCACTCACCCACTCACTCACCCACATCCACACAAGGTTTCTCTGCAGCACCCTGCCAGCCCCTAGTGCCAGCCCCTAGGGCAGTGCCACTTCACATGTCAGTAGGAACACTTGGTACCTACACTCTGTCATTTGATGCTCACATATCTTTGGTGGCAATCCAACACTCTTGCTGTTTGTGTGGAGTATGTGTGTACATGCTTGTGTGCAGATATCCATGAGCGTGCGTGCGTGTGTGTGTGTGTGTGTGTGTGTGTGTGTGTGTGTGCGCGCGCGTGCGCGCGCGCTTGCATGTGTTTGGAGACATGGGACCTAGGCTACAGAATTTGTCCTCCCTATAGCCTGAGGCAGGGAAGCTACAAACATGGATCTAGCTTGTCCTAAAGGTTTTTCTGATATAACTCAGTGTTTTCTCAGTCACTCCCTACCCTTTGGCCCTGGTCCTTCTCCATCTGTCTCAGGTTCCCAGGAGCCCGGAGTCCACCCATCCACATACCCTTGAAGTCATTGGGCTGGTCAAAGCTCAGCCGGATCTGGTCCCGGAAGCGCCGGCTGCTCTGGCATACATTGGTCACACCAAAGCAGAAGCAGGGCAGGCAGGAGGCGCTGTCCTCCAAGTAGAAGTGTCCATCGGGGCAGGGGCCTGTTGGGAGGCAGGGAAGGGGCTGTGGTTGGCCACCAGCAGGAGGTCCTGTGGCACTGGTGCCAGTCACCCACCTTACACCCGCCCGTCTACAGCACCTCGCTGTGGGACGAGTTCCAGCACGCCATCTGGAATGCCAAACACCATGCCACGTGCGTTCATGGCTTCACAGGTGTAGGCGCCCTGGTCTGCCTCCTTCACATCACGGATGATCAGTGTGCCACGCCCTCCCTCGCTGGTCATCGTCACCCTGGTAGACAAGACAGTGGTGGGTTAGGCTTGAGCCACAGACTCAGTCTTTTCCATGGGCAAATCACCCCCACCTGAGTTGTACCTGGGATGAACAGGGATGTGGCCCCAGTTGAGCCTCCAATTGATGATGGGTGTGGGGACACCAATGGCTACGCAGGTGAAAGTCACTGTCTGGCCCCGGGAAGCCTGGATGGACTGCTGGGGAGGCGTCACCACCTGGGGGGGCACTGGGGACAGCAGAGCAGGAGTGAAGTGTTCAATCAGCAATTGGGGCAGGAAGTGCAGAAGAGTGGAGACTCGAGTGGAAAGCAGATGGGACATGGAGCCACCCAGGGCCATCCCCAGGACATCACTCACTGCAGCCAAACTCATCACTGCGGTCAGGACAGTCAGTTTCCTCGTCACAGTGGAAGCTGGCCGGGATGCACTTGTTGGTGGAGACACATCGGAACTGTGTGGGCCCACAGTCTTCCCCAGGCTCCTTGACGGCTGGTGACAAAACCAGGTGGGGTGAGCACAGGGCACTGTCTGCAGGGCACCACGGCTCACCTACCACCTTCTTCAGGTGCCCTCTGGGTCACTCCCTCCCTCTTGCCCACATTACACACAATGCCTTCAAATCTGAGCCAAATACAATGCGTTATAAAGTGACCGGGCTCTGGCATTCTGTTACAACAACATAAAATAGACTGAGTAGCCCATGGGTTAGGTTGTGACCCACACACTGGTCCAGGACACCATCTTCACAGAGATCCGCATATCCACTTCTCTCACCAATACCAACACAGTAACAAAGAAAAGATTAATGGTCACCCAAATACAGCAGAGCAGGAGAGACATGGCCAGCAGGCTGTCAGCTAACTGCAGTTCCAAACACAGAGGAATTTGGATGTTTGTCTGCAGGGTCCCTCACTGACCAGTAAGGCCAGCACACCTCCCAGAGCAGGGACCAGAAGCACACAGACTGGAGGGACGAGGCAGAGTGAGGCCTGCTGTACTCACGGCAATTAGCCTCATCTGTATGGTCCTCACAATCGAAGTCACCATCACAGCGCCACAGCTTGAGAGCACAGTGTCCATTTCCACAGGGGAACTCGTTAGGTTCACAGGGTGGTGGGGGCCCTGTGTGGACCAGGCAGGGGGGTCACAATGGTCCTTTGCTGACCAGAACCCAGTCCCCACACTCCCAGCCTATATGGTACTCACCACAGCCCAGTTCGTCGCTGCCATCCTTGCAGTCTTCCTGACCATCACAGAGGTAATCTTTGGGGATGCAGTGCCCACTGCGGCATGTGGCCTCCTGGGGTCCACACACCGTGGGCACAGCAACACTGGGTAACAGAAACTGAGGTCCATATGTGACTGGTGGTGGATGTGCTGTGGCTGCCTCTGGCCAGAGTGGTAAAGGAGACACCTTCACAACAGCAGGTGGCATGGAGCTGAGCTCTGGTTCTGCCTCCTCTGTGGACAGGATCCCTTGATGCTTAGTGAATGGGTGGGTCTCATCCTCGCCCCAGTCTCCCATGCTCCCTGGAGTCTACCCCAAGACCAGCCTCTGCGTCACTCTTCCCCCACCCCCACCCTCTCCAACCTCTCTGCACCAAACCCTTATAGCCCAGATGACCCAAAGACTCAGATGTAGCCCCGCCCTGGGCATTAGGGGCCCCTTGAGGTTCCCAACAACTTCTCACCACAATTGAGCTCATCAGACATGTCCCTGCAGTCAGGTCGCCGGTCACAGCGATACTCTAGAGCCACACACTCGTTATAACTGTGGCAAGCAAACTCTGTCTCGGTGCAGACCCTTGGGATCTGTGGCACTGTTGGGAGGGGGCAGTAGGAAGGAGTCAGGCAGCAGGCTGAGGCAGCTAGTGGTGTGACAGACGGCAAAGGCAAGGCACGGCTGTGAGTGGCTCTGGTGCCCTGAGTCAGGCCACACTGTGGCAGACAGCAAGAGCAAGAAGCACTTGGTGGGCACACACATGGCACACATGGAACACTATGCAGGAGCCCTTACATGGAACTTCACTCGGGTGACATGCCACACACACGCAGCCACCATGCCATACACATGCAGGCTACAGCCGGGCCCGGTGAGGGCAATGAGACAGTGGGAGGAAGCAGTCACGTGGCCTTTGCCCTTCTTTTCTCCCTCTGTCAGGTTCTCTAGGAACCCCCCTGCACCTCAGCCAGGCTCACACTCTCACCTGGTGTCACTGTGACCCCCACAGCAGCTGGGGATGGTGGGGGGGTCTGTGCTGGAAAGGAAGCTGTAGTTAGCAACCGTCCCACCTGGGACCTGGAAACTGAGGCCCAAGCCGAGCCTGCAGCTGTCCCCTCCCTCGCCAAGAATTCACTGAAGGTGGGGATTAGATGGCTAGGCCTCCAGCAAACTTTAGGCCTGGGTCTTAAGACCCAGGAGAGCAAGTTCGATTTTGGGGTGCACGGATAGGAGTTTTCCATGCAGAACAAGGAAGGCGATAGAGCACTACTTTTTTTCTTAGACTTGATACCATTGTAGGGCTGGAATTTGTCCCGTTTGGAGCTTTACTGAGTCAGAGGTACATGGCATGACAAATGACAGCCTGCTCAGTAAGGACGCTGAGATGGAGAAGGGCCCAGTACCACAGCCTGTGAGGGATGAACCAGAACTGGCTAGGGAAAGACTCAGTGGGTCAAAGAGACAGCAGGTAGAAAGACAGGAAACCTGGGCAGGCCCTGAGCACTTCTGCATCTAATGGCTGTATGACTTGGGGCCCATTTCCTGTCCCCTCTGGGAGGGTTTCTCTTTTGTTTCCCATTCCTCGTGGATTCTAGAGAGAGCAGTGTGTGTGTGTGTGTGTGTGTGTGTGTGTGTGTGTGTGGTATGCCTTTGCATGTATAGATACATGTCATGAGATACATGTGTAGGTGATATGTTACATGGAGGCCTGAGACTGACATTAGGTTGTCTTTCTTGATCGATCTTCACCTTGTATACTATGGCAGGGTCTCTCTTGAATCAGGGCTTGATGATTCGGTAGTCTAGCTAGCTTGCTCTGGGGATCCCATCTTTACCTCCTGACAGCTGGAATTACCTGACAGCTGGAATTATAGGTGGCTGCCACACCCTCCTGGTATGCCCATGGGTGCTAAGGATCTGAACTCCAATCCTCATGTTCTCACAGCAAATGCTTCTTTACATGCAGAATCACCTCCTCAGCCCTACAACTGTTGGTTTTACTGAATGCCAATGCCTTTTGATTTGGAAGTGCTGTATGAAGGAGTTTATCTACTGTCCATATATGAAGGTCTGTGAGGACACAGCCTTATGGGTCCTATTAAAGGAAACAGTTGGGCTCCAACCAAGTAGAGACTGTACAAAGACTGACAGGCAGGCTCGGGTTCAGGATGAAGTGAGTTCCCTGTCTGGGGGGGGTGGTGGTAGCTCAAGGTGAAGACACCAAGAGGGGCTAGAGTCTGAGGAACTGGAGAGGCGACCCCAGTTTGGAGGACAGGCTCACCTGTGCCCAGGCGTCGGAACTTGAACCCCCAGGGGGAGGTGATGTAGGGGCCAATGGAGCCGCTGGAGACCACTGTGTGTAGCACCTCCTGAATCTGAGCCCCATCTGCATTCCCTTCGGAGCCCACATCCAGCTCAACAAAGACCCAGCCATCCAGCTCCCTGAGGAGAAAGAGGCCTATGATCTCCATACCTCTATCAAGTTCCTAGCCTTGTACTGGCTGGCCTGTGCCTAGGGTAGGGTCATTTCTGATGCAGGATACCTCATCTATGCTCTCTGAATTCCTGTCACACACCTTTAATCCCAGCAGGTGGGAGGCAGAAGCAAACTCTGAGTTTGAGGCCAGCCTGATCTACAGAGTGAGTTCCGGGACAGCCAGGCTACACACAGAAACCCTGTCTCGAAAAAAAAAAAAAAAAAAAAAAAAAAAAAAAAAACAAAGCCAAGAAACAAAAACAGCCCATCCCTTCTGACCCTGCTTGTCCTGCTCTTGGTAGCCAAGCCATTTCCCACCCTTGGCCCCTCCCAGTTGCTCCCACCCCTCCCATCCCCAGAAACCCATCTCACTTGATGAACACCACGCTGACAATCTGGTCTCCTGGGATCTTCAAGTACTCTGACTCCAGCTGTGGGGACACACCATCATCAAATGCCTCCCACATACTCCAGTGCTGCCCTGGCATCCCTGGGGAGCCCCCAATCCCAGCTTCTCTCTCCCACGTACCTTATCCACCACAGCCTCCGACACCTCTCGGAACTCCTTGGCACCTGCATCCTCCAACTGGGGGCTGTACTCAATGGACCGAGTAAAATTTACCAGAGCCCGGAAATAGACTGTGGAAGAGAAGGTGGAATGTCACTGTGAAGGTCCCAGTTTGGCAGTTGGGAACCCCGTTGGCAGGCTGAAAATAAGGTGTTGGACTGCCACACAGGCTGTCACCTGTGTTCCCACAGAAAGGCCCGCACTGCCTGTAGAAGTCTAAAAGGCCTGCCCATGGCTCAGAGGGGGCTGGGCAGGAAGGGGCAGTTATCAGGGCACTGGCTAGCACGAGGGTCATCACTCCTTTATAGTGATTTGTTTTCCCAGCCAGTTCCTATTCATCCTTCTGGGCTCAGCTCAGCCACCATACTCTCTAAGAAGACCACCTGGGCTGCCCTGGCTGGTGTGGGCGTCCCCACTCTGGGCTCTCACAGCACCTCTGCTTTCCAAACTGGGAACCTTCCTTCCCTGTCACATCGATTCTGCTGGGAACACCCGAGCCACACAGCACCGCAGTAACTATCAGGTCCTGAGTCGGCTACTTCAGATACTGACCCTTCTCGGTGAAAGTCTCACTCCTTCTTCATAAAATGGGGGGGGGGGGATGAGGGAGTCAACCACATTTATACCCCATGGCTGCTGCCCGATTCCCACACTGCTCCTGTGTGCACAGCTGGCACTCAGTAATGAGAAGCACAGTCCCCTCTTACCCTGTTCCCCCAAACCAGGAGCTCCATGAGGAAATGAGGAACCCACCCATTTGTGGCCCATGTGCCTATCTGTGAGTCATGGCCAAATAAACTCACGCTGTTCTGGCATAAATAAACCATACAACTATTGTTTCCTTCAGCGCTGGATGTACGCAACACGGTTGATAGCCACTGATTATCATGTTGGCTGAGTCTGGATCTCACAGGTTTCTCTGTGTAACAGCTATGACTGTCCTAGTACTCTCTCTGTAGACCAGGCTGGCCTTGAACTCACTGAGATCCACCTGCCTCTGCCTCCTGAGTGCTGGATTAAAGGTGTGTGCCCCCCGCAGCAGCGTCCCCCCCCCATGCCCACCCTCTGCTGGTAGTAGACGGTACAGCCATCTCCCCTGTACAACCATCTGCCTCTGTTTCTTGTTGTTGCTGTAGGGGAGGGGGGGAACCTAATGGATAGAAGTTAGGTCGCTGAGGGCCTGGCCTTGAAAGCGATATTGAGACTCTGCCCTTCCATGTCTCCGTCTATCTCTGCCTCCCATACACTATTAGGTGACCCAGATTCTGCCGAACACTCCCGCCACAGTATCCTGTGCCAGCACAGGCCCAGAGCTGCAGAGCCAAATAGCCAAGGTCTGAAACCCCTGAAACTGTGAACCAAAATAAATTTTTCTTCCTTAAAAGTCAATTACCTCTGGTATTTTGTCACAAAGAAGGAAGGCTGGGCAGCACAACGTCCTTGAGTTCAAAATGCAGAGTAAGCTCTCTAGTGGCAAATGAGTCAGCCATTTGTATGTATATGTACAAGCACACCCACGTGCACACACACACACACATACACAGAGCCTGCAACAAATAATGAGCAAACCATGCTATTCCACATCACACAGAGAATGTGTGATGTGTGAACACACATAAACACATATACTCCCATATTCTCAATTATTTCTCTGAGTGTGTGTGTGTGTGTGTGTGAGTGTGTGAGTGTGAGTGTGTGCGAGTGTGTGTGTGTGTGAGAGAGTGTGTGCAAGTGTGTGTGCGAGTGTGTGTGTGAGTGTGTGTGAGTGTGTGACTGTGTGTGAGTGTGTGTGTGAGTGTGAGTGAGAGTGTGTATGAGTGTGTGCAAGTGTGTGTGTGTGTGTGTGTGTGTGCGTGTGTGTGCACGTGTGCGTGTGTGTGTGTGTGTGTGTGTGTGAGTGTGTGTGTGTGTGTGTGTGTGTGTGTGTGTGTGTGTGTGGGTGTGTGATATGTGCATGTGTATGTAGGTGCACATGCCCATGAGCCCATGGAGGCCAGAGGAAGCCAGGGAGTGTCTTGTTCTACTCTCTTCCCTTGAGCTGGGGTCTCTCACTGAACTTGGAGCTGGGTGGCAGCCAGCGAGCCCCAGCCATCCTGTCTCTGCTCTGATCAGAGCTGGGGTTACAGGGCCTCAGGGCCGAGATGGGTTTTTAACAAGGATGCCAGGGATTTGTACTTAGGGTCTCATGCTTAGGCATCAAGTGTTCTTTTTTGTCTTGTTTTGATTTTTTGAGACAGGATCTCTATATATAACCCTGGATGTTAATCACAGAGATCCACCTGCCTCTGCCTCCCAGGTGGTAGGATTAAAGGTGTGTGCCACCATGCCCAGCCCAGCAAGTGCTCTTATTCAATAGGTCCCTTTTCCCAGCCCCTGTTTACTATTGTTGTTGTTGTGTGAGACAGGGTCCCAAATTCTGGGCTAGCCTTGATATATAGCCAGGGCTGACCTTTTTTTTCTCTTCTTGAGATAGGGTCTCATGTAGCTGACACTAAGATCAAATATAATATGTAGCCAAGAATGACCTCAAACTTCTGATGCTCCTGCTTCTACTTCCAGAGTGCTGTTATCAAAGGCATGTCCCATCACAACCGGCATCTCAATAATTCCTTAAGTCCCTATTACGTATATACAGGATATTTTTGTGTACTCATGGGTTTAAGCACAGGCTATAAATATCAGATTAATAAGAGTCACCAAGTGGGGCTGGGGAGATGGCTCAGTGGTTAAGAGCACTAGCTGCTCTTCCAGAGGATCTGGGTTCAATTCCCTGAACTCACATGGCAGTTCATAACTGTTTATAATTCCAGTTCCTGAGGATGTGACACCTTCACACCAATGCACATAAAGTTAAAGTATAAAAAAGAAGTTTTGTTTTGTTTTTTTTTTTTTAAAAAAAAAGAGTCACCAAGTAGTCTGAAGTGTGTGCACAGTGCTCAGAACACTCCCCAGTACAGAGTGGGCACAACACGATACCTACTGTCACCATGCAGAGGTAGGGGAACTCACTAGTTAATGGCCACTGATGGCCTGTGACATTTCTGAGCTCTAATGTTGCATCTATAACCTGAGGCCACCAGTGTCCACCCCAAGAGCTGCTATGAGGATCCACATTGTACCCGGAACACAACAAGGAGCAGGGTCCACAGTGACTATTATCTCGATCTTCAGGACAAGCTCTAGGACCAGTCCTAGACTGGAAGAGCATCTGAGTCACAAACAGTGTGGAGGGCCTACCATGTGCCAGGTGGTGTTCTAGGGCAGGGGTGCATCGATGGACCCAACAAATGGAAAGTCCCATTCCCAGGGGCAGCATCTTCTAGTTGGGGGAGAAAGGAAACAAACCAAATGGTTGAGAATGTGTGGACTGGGCCCAGCAATTGTGGCTCACGCCTTTAATCCCAGCACTCGGGAGGCAGAGGCAGGCGGATCTCCGTGAGTTCAAGGCCAGCCTGGTCTACAGAGTGAGTGCCAGGATAGGCTCCAAAGCTACACAGAGAAACCCTGTCTCAGAAAAAAAAAAAAATGTGGATTATGGAATGGGGGCTGAGGAGAAGGTGGGTACATTTTTCCATGAGGGTCCAAGGAAAGGAAAGGGGTGAGCCATTTGCAGTGTCTGTGAGAAGAACACTGTACAACAGACGAACTGACAAGTGCAAAGGCCCTGAGGCTGAAGTGAGTACGTGTGACATCTGGTCAGGATGTGTGTGACATAGTAGGGGATGCCTTCCACTTACTCACTCGCTGTCCTTCAGGCCTAGAGAGCCCTTCAGACCCCCAAGCTAGGGTGTTCTCCCTCTATGGCTCAAGCTAAGAGGGTCCATGAGGTCCTGGGCCAGGTGCTGAGGTGAATCCTGCACTGTGAGGGGATACTGTGTCTGCTCTGAACCACAGCCAATGGTGGGGCTAGGCTCCTGGGTGCGGAGTAGGTGGAGCTTGTGGGCGGAGTGTGGGGCTGTGAGCTCCACCACAGAGGCCTCTTGTATGCAGGCACAGAGGCCCATTGAGAGCCCCCACCCCGGCCCCTGGCCTCAGCCCACGGCCAAGTTCGGGTGAGGAGGCCGGGCCTCTGCCCAGGAATGTGCCCACTCCTGAGGAGTGTTAGAGTGCCACAAAGCCCCTTTCTACCAGGGCTTGGGAAGAGCTGGAGCCCTCCAGCCTGACCCCCTTCCATGTCCCAAAGCAGAGGCCAGCCAGGGTGAGCACCCTGGGAGGGTCATTAGCCTGAGCTGAGGCTCCACCCAGAGCTGAGGGACTGAGATTGCTGGACTGTGAGGCTGTCAAGGGGACGGGGTGCTCTGGGCATCTGCCCTCACTAGGCCTCCCCCACTTGGCCTCTGACCCTGGCTAAAGCATTCACTGAGATGGGAGGCTGGAGCAGAGGAAGATTAGGCTGCACTGAGGGCTGGTGTGAGTGGGAGGCAACACCCCTAACCCCTAATGGGCCACCCCAGCTCCAAACACCCATCCCTGCTCAACAGACTCATCATGAGTGGCCTGTCCCTCTAGTTTGGGATGCCTTGGGTGGGCAGTAAACCAGCCTTTGCAGAGGTTGAGACAAGCTGTTCCCAACTCTAGAGCCTGGCTATATCCTGGCCAGCACCCCTAGAGTAAGAACAGCAGGCTCCCAGCACCCTGTTCCAATTTAGAGCCCTGGTGGGGAGGCACAGGACCTTGCCTGGCCTTGACTCTTCTTCAGAGGGGTGCCTCTGGCTTCCTGTGAGATCCTGGCCAAGGTGGGCTGGGCAGAGGAACACAGGGAGGAAAAAAAAGACTGAATGTCAAGGATGAGCTGGGAGGGCGTTCTGCAGGACAATGACGGACATACAGGGAGGAAGAGCAGGCACAGCATAAGGGTCCTTGGGGAAGGGACACACAGAAAGTAGAGAGATGGCAGAGGAGTGTCTAGACAGTGGCAAAGATGGGGAGGAGAAGGAAGAGGGAAGAGCCAGTGATACAGGCAGTGTGGGGAGCCAAGGGGAAAGTGGACAGAGTTCCCACAGAGATGGAGGAATAGGCAATGGCCAGAGCAGTCCCCAAGATAGGGGAAAGGCTGACAGGCAGGTTAACAGCTGGAACCAAAAAGGAGAGGAGTGAGGCAGATCCAGGGGTGGCCCATGAATAGAGGAGATGAAGCTGGGAGGAGCTGGAGAGACAGTACTGCCTGTCTACGAGGGAAGTCTCGGGGATGGGCTCTAGTGTCAAGTCAAGGACAGCCCAAGCATGGCCCTGTCAGAGTCAGGGCAGCCTTCCTTGCCTGCACAGGAAGGGCGCAGGTCCTGAGCAAGCCCATGTGATATACACACCAAGACCTTAGGCATCAGGATGCACACCTGTGCTTCCCAAGCTGGGACTAAGCCCAGCTGGGTGGCCACACTCCCAAGGGCCACCAACTGTACAGGGTTGGGACTGGAGAGTTCGGGGCCCTGCTACCTCCTACAAAGGAAAGAAAAATCCCTGAGCTTGGACCCTCCAATAGTTTCCCTGTTTCCTGGCTTCCCCCACCTCTGGCCTTGCTGGCCCTCACTGCAGCATCTCAGAAGTGGCTGCCAAGGAGCATCAAAAGGCATCCCCTGGTAGGCCCCAGGTGCTCTAGAAGGAACTAGATCAGTGGTTCTCAACCTTCCTAATGCTGTGACCCTTTAATCAAGTTCCCCATGTTATGGTGACCCCCCCAACCATAAAATTATTTTGTTGCTACTTCTTTTCTATAAATTTTGCTACTGTTATGAATTGTAATGTAAATATTTGATATGTAAGATATCTGATACGTAACACCAAAGGGTTGTGACTCACAGGTTGAGAACCAGTGATCTAGTTAGACCAAAGCCTCAACAAGAGGTAGTTCCCAGGATACATCAGCCCAGGTCACTCTGGGATATAGCTCACAACCACAACACTACCCGACACCCCCACTTCTGTCCCCAGCCAGGTTCCAGGCATCCTGTGGCCCTGCAAAGACCTATGTGTAGGAAAACTTCAGGCAGCAGTCATGTCCAGGCTCCATGAGGTCACGCTGGCCAGGCTGCCAGTGGCCAGTCCTGCGTACAGTGGCCCAAGTGGGATGCCACCCTCAGACATGGGGGAATAGTGGACGCTCCTGCTGCACTAGCTAAGGGAAATGACCTCAGCCCTGGAGACACCTAACTACTTTGAACACTGAGAGGCAGGCTGGCTTTCTGTCCCAACCAGAACTGAGCTTTTATGTGGTCACTGTCCTGCATTTTGTGCTGGTAACATAGGAAAACAGCCAAACTTGGCCATTCCCAACCGTGCAGGTGCCTGCCCATCTTCAACAGGAAAGGGACCGTCCCCACAGGACCATCTCCCAGGACCCTTGAGATGGGGCCTCTGCAACCAATAGACCTGCTCTCCCCAGAGAGCAGAAACTTACCCATATGGAAGTTTCCACTGCCCCCGTCTCCACTGCCCAGACCATCTGCACATAAAAGGGAGACTTAGTTCAGCAACAAATATTCACTGAGCACCAACATGGTACAAGGCATTACTGTAGGCTCCTGACCCAGGGGTGAAGAGTCACTCCAACATAGAATAGCCACCCCACTCCCACCCCATGCCTCCTTAGTTTGGAGGCCTCCAGCACAGGGAGTGGACTGAAGCCTCAAATTCCAGGGATCATCTGTTTGATGGGTGGGGCAAAGGAGCCAAGTCAGCCTGACCTCCAAGTAGGGACAAGGAGGAGGTAAGATGAAGAGATGGTGGGGCTGGAGAGATGGCTCAGGGGTTAAGAGCACTGACTGTTCTTCCAGAGGTCCTAAGTTCAATTCCCAACAACCACATGGTGGCTTACAACCATTTGTAATGGGATCTGGTGCCCTCTTCTGGCACGCACTGTATACATAATAAATAAATAAATCTTAAAAAAAAAAAAAAAAAAAAGATGAAGAGATGGCAAGTGTCCCTATTATGCACTGTCAGCTATCTTCCCCATTGTTCCTGATGGCACCAGGCAGCAGAGAGGAGTGGTGGCCAATCTAGGAACATGGAGATTGCAAATAGAGGATACTGGGACCATGAGACCAGGGTTCAGGACATACATATCCACATCTTTTTTGTTTGTTGCTTTTAAAAAAAAATGTACACTTATTTGCTTATTTATTTAGTGTGTGACCACATGTGTGCCACAGTGAGTGTGTGGAGGCTCTAGTTGGTTCCCTCCTTCTGGGGTTCTGGCAACCGAACTGAGGTTGTGAGACTTGGTGGCAAGCCCCTTTACCCACTGAACCATCTCACCAGCCTTTGTGTGTGTGTGTGTGTGTGTGTGTGTGTGTGTGTGTGTGTTTTGACAAGGTCTCATTTATGTCAGGCTGGCCTTGAACTCATGTATTACAGAGGCCAACCTTGAACTCCTGATCCTTCTGCCGCCACCTTCCAAGTTTGGGAATTAAGTAGATGAGTACCACCACACTCAATTTATGGCCCATCTTTTTTATGGCCCATCTTTTAAAGCCCCACCTGGGGTGACTTTCACAGGACCTTCAGAAGCTCTGGTGGAAGGAGCCAGAACTGTTCCTGTCAGCCTTCCCTCTAGGGAGACTACTGGCCTACCTCCTGATGCATCATCAGCCAGCAGGTCCTCATCGTCAGAGAGGTATGAATGGGTCCAGCCAGCCCGGCCAGCTGTGACAGTCTCTGTGTCCTCAGGCAGGGAAAGGCCATCATAGGCCCTCAGGCCGTGCGTCACCTATGGGAGATGACAGTCCATGAATCACCTCTCCAGTTAACTGCCAAACCCCAAGGCCCTTCTCCTCACTTCAGAGGGACCCAACAATCCATCCCAAAGCCCCACAGGGTGGTTAGGCTCACTGTGGCTAAGACAGCCAGGAGCCTGAACCACTCTTTGGGACTCGGCTTCCCCCAATCCCACCAACCTCTGGAGGCCTCAGAGTCAGAGCCCAAGGTACAGATTCTCAAGGACTCATCAGATAAAATGGACAGGAGAAGGAAGATCACTTGGTAAAAGGTGGCTTCTTTTTATTTGGAGAACATAAGGGGCCCCCAGGACATGAGAATGGGCAAGGGGACAGACACAGGTAGGTACGGGGTGACCTGGACTAGCAGAGACAAGAGACATAAGCATGTAGAAGACTGTGGAGGGGACATGGGCAGAAGTGAGGGTATTGATTTATGTGTTATTGATCTATAACAGTTCCTCTCTCAGTTCCTTGGCCTTCTCCACCAGGTCTGGTGTCCAAGCCTGGCTGCGGGCAGCACATTCCACTGCTCAGAACACTTAAGAGTCCTGCGGCTAGTCTAAAAGGAGGCGAGACAGACATCAACTCCCCGTGGCCTCAGGCTGATGTTAAGCTCAGCTGGCTCTGAGGCATCTGTCCCAGGAAAGCTGGGGGTGCATGTGTGCATGTGTGTGTGCGTGCGCGTGTGCTTGTGTGCACAGCACGCAGGCCAAGCAACAAGTTCCAATACTCATTATCAGGCTTTTCCAAGAAATGACTGTGGACAGTGAATGCCTGCATCTACTGGGACAATATCAAGATGTTTTCAAAGACGTTGTCCAGGTAACCGATGGGAAAACCATCCAGGGAGCCCAAAGGCCGAGAGGCCCCTGGCACAGGAATGCAGTATTGAATGGCCCCAAAACAGTCCAGAATCCCTGGTAAAAGAGCCTCAGGCACTACTGGGGCTAAGTTGCATCTGAGCAGCCTGGACTGGACAGAGGAAACTCAGTTCTCTGTGAAAACCAAACAGCTACACCAGGTAACAAGGCCCAAGCTGAGGGAAAACTACAAATCCATACAGTCCACATCTCCCATGCCTGTTGCCACAGGGCCCTCTGCCATCATGCCCTTCCTCCCCTGGTTTGTGGACCAACTCTTATCATCCTCTACATCTGCATCTCTTAGCCATCGTCCCTCTAAATGCCCAGTAACAAAAAGGCATGGTTAGCCAGGTGTACCAGCTCATACCTGTAATTCAACTTAACAGGTAGGGGCAGGGGAATCAGGAGTTCACATAGCAAGGTGGAAGTCAGGCTGAGTTACCTAAGACCTTGTCTCAAAACACACACACACACACACACACACACACACACACACACACACACACACAATGGCTGTGCCTGGCAATTATAATGATCCTCAGTTCCTGTGCACAGTGACAGGCAGCAGATAAAAAAGGCCCAGGGATCATGAGGACTCAAGGTGGGACAGAGTGCCCCACGCAGTGACAGAAGACAGATCAGCAATTTGCCTCAGCTGTGGACTAGACAGGTGGGTTGGAAGGGACTCAAGATATTTTGGGGAGAAGGTTCCAGAGTATGTGTCATGCTCACATACATTATTGATCTGTATGCTCGAAGCAAGTCCGTTTTACTCCCAGTCAACTGTGGCATCATAAAGAAGGCAAAAAAGAAAGTTCTAGAGAGATATTCAGACTCCTTGCCTTTCATGACCACCTCTGCCCTGGCCAGGTCCTGTCATGTGTACCACCACTAGATAGAAGCAACCTGAAGATGGGGCGGAACTGGCTCAGCTCTACTTTCTCAACACATACAAGCAATCCTTCAACACATGAGTAAGAGATAGCAGCTGTGACCGAACTCAACAACCTACATATATTTCCCGGCCCCCAGCCCCACCCTGGGGGGGCTGAGAACTCCTGGGTTCAGGGACTGAGCACCACTTTGTCACTTTGTGTTAGCCAGAGTGCTGAGCTGCACTGCCTTCCCCCCAAACCCTGGTATGGCCTAAAGCTCTATCCTCACAGCCAAAGAGCAGGGCCACCACCTGGTCCTTCTCATCCCTGCCCAGAGTGGTAGCCAAAGGACTTGTGGTCTATGCATATGTGGCTATGGGTATGTGGCTTCATAATCTTCAGTACCAGTAGCTGAACACAGTGGCACATGCCCGTAATACCAACACTCAACAGGCCAAAGCAAGAAGTTCATGAGTTCAAAGCCAGCCTGAGCCTTATTGAGACCATGTCTCAAAACAAAACAAAGCACAACAGCAACAAAAACCAAACCAAACCAAACAAAAAAACAAAAAAAAACACCAAAAACAAAGGCTAGGGTATGTTCTAGCAGTTCATCAATAGAGCTCATATGTACAAGGCCCCAGGGTTGATCCCGAGTAATACCATCATCACCAAAACACAAAACAAAACAAACAAAAACACCTTCTGGGGCTGGTGGAAAAAAAAAAAAAAAGATTCCTGGTCCTTTTTCAGAGCCAGAGGCAGCTTCTCATCCCAGATCGGGCAGAGCTGTACATACCCAGGGGACACTGACAGTCCCACTTAAAACAGGACCAGAGGCTCTGCTTCCTTCCCTACCTGGGAGCCGAGGTAACTGGAGGGTGAGTCTTGAGCAGGTCTTTAATTGACACAACGGGACTAAGAGGCTAGGGTTGGTGCAGGGACACTGATTTGAGGCACAGGAGGTTTGGGTCATCTCCAGGTAACAAGTGTCACTTTGTTATACTCACAGCCTCCCAATGCCCATATGAGCAAGGCTATGAAGGTGAAGCATGAGGAGCAGATTCCCGCCACCACTCAGACACCACTGTCTGGAAAGGAAGCCCTTGCTGCTAAGCAAGGTCCAGAGCTTTTTGTAGGGAGGAAGGGGGTGGAGGGAGTAGAGCCTGGACCCGGACAGGAAATAGCAAAGTGAGATTCAACAGGGAAAACCATGCCAGGAACACACATCTGCAGGAAGGCCAAGAGTGCAGGGCACTGAGTCAGAAGCCCCCCAGCCCCAGACACCCAGGTTGTCCATGCCAGCAGCTCTTGCTTCCCAGGATCTGAGTAGCCAGGGGTAGCCAGGGCCATCAGGGAAGAGGCAAGGCAGCCAGGGGCAGAGACTTCATTTGCTAAAAGCTGTCCATCCCAAAGCAGCTGGGATTCACATCTGGGAGGGAAGATGAAGCCAGAGCAAAAGAGGCTCTGGAAAAGCACCTGATGGTAGAAGAGACTCAGAGCTGGCCAGCCTAGTCTGATAGGGATAGTCAGAGCCAGTGCTGGTTCACTGAGTGTTCCCTGCACACCAGGAATGTCTAAATGGGACAGAGAAAGATGGGCTTGGCTGTAGGAGCTGGAGGTCTGGTGGTCTGCCTCCCAGACCTGGGGTCTCACCACTGAGTGCTGAACACCCCAGGACTCCCTCTCAGAGTCCCTCTCCTCAGCCCATGCACCTCACCCAGAGAACTACAGCTCCCAAAAATCCTCTGAGGAACTGGGGCAATGGTGTGTGGCGCTCACACCATTGTAATCAAGGCCTGTGGGAAAACCTTACCTAGATCACAGTGGGGCTGACCTCTGCTCCAAGCTCTGTGCTAACCAGGCAAGGCCGAAGCACTGGGCCACAAGGACAAAGCAGACAGCAGTACCAGAAAGCCCAGGGCTACCCAGACTCCATCCCCAACCTGAATGGCCCAGGGGTGTGCTGAGCTGGCAGCAGCCTGGGCTTGTGCAGTGTGTTCCTTAAGTCCTAAGAAGGCCCATGGGTAGCTCCAAGGTCAGAGGCAGAAATAGAACCCAGGCTTCCTGCCCTGTAGCCTGTCTCCGGCCATGCGGGAGCCCTGCTTCCTCCCAGAGGAACAGCACTCAGGCAGGGCTGAAGGGGGATCTGAGCCAGTGAGGAAGGAGCCAAGCTGAGAGGGGGATTTTCCAGACCTGTAGGTTGCTGGAGGGCTGGGATGGGGGTGGGGGTGACTGACTCACACAGGACAAGGCCAAAGTCTAACATGCTGGGAACTACTTGAGGCAAGGATATAGGCAGGGTGGTCCCCAGTGACAGCTATTCTCTGAACCCAGGCAGGTGGACCACAGGCAGGGTATCAGACAGCAACGTCTGGAAGGCACCACTCTCAAACACTGAGTGAGTGTCTAGGCTTTCCTGGTGAGGACAAGGGACACATGGAGATACCTCTAAGTCCAAGTCCTATAGAGGTCCAGAGGGACAAGGAAAGAAGGGACAGAAACTAGGCCTTCTTTTCTAGCCTCCACGAGGCTAGAAAAGGAGTCAAGGCTGGCTAGGATGCTCTCAGAGTGGAGAGAAATGGAAAGCATGGAAACCAGACAAGGAAGCCAGGCAGTGGTGACACACTCCTTTAATCCCAGCACTCAGGAGGCAGAGACAGGTGGATCTCTGTGAGTTTAAGGCCAGCCTGGTCTATAGAAGTAAGTTCCAAGACAGCTACACAGAGAAACCCTATCTCGCAAAACAAACAAGAAGAAAGATAGAAAGAAAGAAAGAAAGAAAGAAAGAAAGAAAGAAAGAAAGGAAGGAAGGAAGGAAGGAAGAAAGGAAGGAAGAAAGAAAGAGAAACTAGATAAGGCCCTGAACATGGGGACACAGGTACATACAGGACAGAGCATGTAGAGCTTCCACAGCATTGAGTGTGCACCTTTCAAAGCTTACACCACAAGGCTGCTCCTAAGACTGCTCAAATCAAAGCTGGTGACAGATGGGAGCACAATGACAGAGGACAATGAGTGCCAAAGGGACTAGGGAGGTGACCCAGTGGGAAAGATGCTTGTTGATCAAACATGAGACCCTGAGTTACACACACAGACATAGGCACACACACACACACATAGACACACACATACACACCCACACACAGACATAGACACACACAGAGACACAGGCATAGACACACACACACACAGACACACATACTTACACAGACACACATACACACAGAGACATAGACACACAGACACACACATAGACATACACAGACACACAAATAGACACACAGAACAGACACAAACAGACATAGACACACACACAGATATAGATACACACAGACATAGACACACACACACAGAACAGACAGACATAGACACACACAGACATAGATACAGACACACACAGACATAGACACCCATACTCACACAGACACACAGGACACACACACACACACACACACACACACGAAGAGCCAGATTTCACAGAGGTTTTCTCAGGCCAATCCCTTCCCACATGCCATGTAGACCAACTCCACATGGCCTGAAGTTACAGGGACACCATTCTGTACCCACAAAAAGGGAAAACCCAAGAGTTCCTTCTGCTGTTGCTGGCAACAGGGTTTCACTATGTAGCTCAGGCTGGCCTAACCCCCCCCCAACCTCCCAAGGGATCAGAGGCATGCTCAAACATGCATTATGCTTTTGTTTGTATTTTGGGTTTCTTTTGTTGTTTTGTTTTTGGGACAAGGTCTCCCAGCCTGGCCTCAAATTCATTATGCAGAAAAGAATGACTTTAAATTCATGATCCTCCTGCCTGCAAATCCACAATGTTGGAATTACAGGAATAAGACACTGTGCCTAGTACATTTTTGTTTTTGTCTTTGAGACATGGTCTCACTGTGTAACCCTGGCTAGTCTGGAATGCCCTATGTAGACCAGGCTGGCCTCAGATTTACGGAGGTTTTTCCTGTCTCTGCCTCCCAAGTGCTGGGTTTTAAGGCTTGAGACACTGAAACCAGCTGAGCTACATGATTTTGGCAGCAATGGTCATGTGCTTGATTGTGGAGTGTGGCCCCAGGTACCATCACAGCTGGCAAGCGTTTTGTGTCTCCTTTCTCAAACTCAAAAATTGCTGGATTCTGAACTACCTCCAACCCCAAGAGTTTCCCTTGCCACTGTGAACTTATTTCTATTTCTGTTTCATGCATGAGGAAGCTGAGGCTCAGAGAGGGTAATCTGTGCACCTGTGATCAGGCAGGTGTGGTGTGGACAGCAGCTATTCAGTAAGGTTGAAAACAGTACCATAAAGGGAGGTCAGAGTGGAGGTCTGTCTGAGGGGAGATGCTTGCAGGTGGGGTGTGAGCTCAGG